AAGCTTGCTCTCTACATCTAGTCAGGCCAAAACTTGCCCTGAAAAACATAGGTGTTTCATGGATGTTTGTAGTGTTCTTGGCATTACATGCAACACTTGAACTAAGAACTACTAAACAACAAATTGCATCTCAAGTGACCACTTCAGAATATTTCAGCTTCCAGTGCAACTTTCTCCTTAAAACTATGAACTCTTTATTTCCTGATCCCCAGAATCATCACAAATGAGGGATTTCATGGCATATGATTTGTAAGTCTACATTTCCTATTAAATAAACTTGCTCAAGAAAAAAAAAAAAAGAAGGCTTCTGTTGCATCAGATCAAGCTTAGCAGCTAAAGTGAGGGAGTTTCCTTAATGAATTCTGTATTTATAGACATGTTCAGTAAGGAAAAAGATTTCAAGGTCATCTTTTCTGACCTATTTTTTTTTTTCATTCTGTACTAAACAGGCTTTATTTTGTAGAATTCGAGAAACTATTATTCTTCAAAATATGCTTAATCAGAGTAAAAACTTCACTAACATACACATTTTTAAACAGAGAAGGATTCTTTTTTTTTCCTTTTTAACGCTTAAAGTGATTTAATAAGGTTATTTAAAAGAGCAATGTGCAGAAAGTCATACATATTTTGCACTGACTTGGAGGAAAAACTAGATGAACTTACCGACTGAGCAGAATCCATCTCTTGAATTCTCTTGCTCCTCCTGTTTCCCCCACAGGTGTTAATATTTGTGTCACTGCTCACGGGTGTTCCACAGTGCCAGCAGAATATATGTTGTGGAAAGCAGGGTTCCAGAACAGACAGTGAAAATCTGCCTATGAGCAAGAGTTGTTCAAACTGAACGGGCAGTTGCAGGATGTGAGGTAGGACAGGCTGGTTCCAGGGATCCCCAGAAACAAAACTACTTGTACCAGCCCTGAGTTTGGCTCAAGTTCTTTAAGAAGTACTCGTCTCCTCCAGCAGGAGCCTTGCACAAGTACAGTTTGAATGGAGCAGCAGTCAAAGGAAGAGTGGAAATATACAATTTAGTTGTGACAGGTTTTGCACTCCACATCTATTGCGTTTACAGGATGTCATCTATATGCATGATAGAAGAAGCATTTGCATTTAAGCTTATTTAATTCAGAAATATTTGTGGACCACTATCCTTGCATTCTGTTACAAAGGATTATCATAATACCATTCCTTCCTGCTTACCAACAGCAGACCTCCTCTGATTCCTTGGATTTAAATAAGCTTCAAGTCTTGCTCTCTGTATTTTGCTATTAATTATTTCTGTTATGTAAACACCCAAAGGTCTCAGTCAGAATTTCAGCTCCCACTGCTCTGGGAGTTCACAAGATAGTTCATATTGACATTCCCTGTCCCAGAGGGTATCTGGGCAGTCATGTGTCCATCATTGCAATCCACCACTGGCAACATTCATAATATCAAGAAGAATATTTAAATAACAGTTTTCCGCTGTGATTAGCCTGTAGTCATCATACTTTTCCATGACCTCTGTATCCCTGTATATCATTTACTCTTCTGTCTTTGCCACATAAACCAATGTCACCTTTTTACAGCAAACAGCTGAATTACACAGTTGTGCCTTCCAAAACCACACCAAATGAGCCCAGGTGGCTACATTCAGTGGAATACAGATCAGTTCTTGTCATTGTGATCAAAGGAAGTAAAGGGTCAAATAAGCAATTGAATAAATTAAGGAGAAGATATTTAGATTACTTTTATAATTTTGGCAGACTGACTACAACTAATAATCTCAACATATCAAAAAATCCCAAAACCCAGAAAAAGTATTAAAAATTATTGTTATAGATTGACTCATTTACAGTTTCATATGACTTAATTCTATTTTTTAATTTGAAGAACTTAAGCTACTGAATTTAATGGCACTGTGTTGTAATCTTAAAAATATTCTGGGAACTTGTGTCTTAACACAGGTTTTCTCTTTGTTTTCTTTGGTTTGGTTTGTTTTTTTTAATCTTTTTAAGTTTAAACAAGGTAGTTTGGTGGGGGTTTTTTGTGTGTTCAATTTCAGCTTTATAGGAAAAAAATCAGATGGATCTACAGAATAATAAAATACTTTGGAGTCACCTTAAGTTGTTTATTCTGTCTTCACGTAGCTTGTTACAAGAAACCAATTAACTCCAGCTCATCATATAGGAAACATTTTTAGAATAATTATTAGAATTAATACCAGGATAATTCTGGTATTATACTAGCTAGAATGATGTGCACCACTAAATATGTGAAGAATTGTATCTTTATGGGTATAGATGCAGGCTAGTATTATACTACATGAAACAGAATGCTATGGTAAGCAGATGTTCCCGGGATAAAGTCTATCTGATGTGCAAAAACTTGCTACACATCCATTAATTTTGTCACAATACTATTGTTTAGCACAGCAAAGATAACAAACTACTACCCAAGAACTTCACGCAACTAAAAGTTCACTGGTTTATTTCTCTTACCAAGAGTAACAGTCTGAAACATTTTACATTAATTTACAGTCATGAACAAGATCCTTATGCTTATCTCATGTAGGTGACATTAAGTCACCCAGTTAACGCTAATTATTATTTCAGAAAGTAAATCTTGTTTTATAAGGTTAAACATTTTTTGAATCATTTGTTGCCAAAACACAACAGTCTACAACCACACAGAAAGTAGAAATTAAAATTTCTACAGAGCCACTACCATCACTATGAAGATACAATGCCAAGTGTTTACAACATTCTGCAAGTTATCACTTCTCCCAGCATTTAAGAGAGCAAAAATTCCCTCTTCACTTTTTACTGTACACACAGGAACTACAGTAAAAGAGGAAATTTTGATTCACAATGTTAGATCAAGGGTAACAGAAGTGCTTCTGAGTCATTTACTTTTAACGTAGAAAATGAACAGGGCTGTGGAAAAATAAGGACTCTCCTCGAAAAAAGGGCAGGTTTTCCCCTCGGCCTCTGCCCGTACACCAGACACACACACTCCTCTCCTTCCACAGACAGTAGCAAAAACGGTCTGTGCTCATGGGGCATCAGAGAAGCAAAGCTGAGATCCACTGTACAGACCTGAGGTGAGATGTGGGTCCCAGGCAACCATGCAGAGCTGGAACTGTGGGACTGCAAGAGGAGGTGGAGTGCAATGAACCCAGAGCTCGAGTCAGTAACTCATGCACAGAGCAAGAAAGCCCTATTTCACCAATTAGAAACTTTTGAAGGTCTCACAGCTTTGGTTATTCTCAAACCCTTGTTGAAACCAATCACTGATTCGTGTGTCACTCAGCAACACACAACAGAACCGTTCAGATCTGTAGCCTTCCTGGGAGGGAACACAGCAAGAACTGTGCTGCTTCCTTTGGCAGCGAGCACAGACACCACAGCAAAGCCACTCCGCTGGGCTTGGCCCAAAGCTGGCACACCATGGTCACTCCCAGTGCCCCACTACCAGAGCAGAACTGCAGCATCTCAGAGTGCTCCACTGCCACACAGAGATGGCTGGTGGGTCACTGGGACTCACTGACACACTGCATCTGGCGTGGGAAGCCTCCAACAGCAGTGGGGTAAGGGCTGTGCAGCCAGAGGGAAACTCTTGAAATACTTTCCTGGGATCCCCCCATGACAGTACACTTCCTCACAGATGCAGCAAAGTCTTCTCACCACCCTTCTGCCTGTTTTGGCATTCCTCAGCCACTCCTCTCACCAATCACACTGCCTCATACCTTCTTCCAGAAAACCCCTGTCCTCCCTCCCCCCAGAGGCAGCAGGATGCTGTTCAGGACTGGTTCTCCCCCTACCCAAGCCCATTTCCTTCTTTTGCTGCAGGCCTGGCAGCCCTGTTTCTGGAATGGACATCCACCACCTTGCCACGACATCCACCAGCAGCAGCTGCAGCCAGTTAGGACACAGCTCTCCCTCTCTTGGTAGCAGGACAAATCATTTTCCTCCTCTGCCCAGACCACGGCAATTCCTCCACAGCAGCAGCAAGAGGAAGACAGTGTGCCATCCTGAGAGACTCTGCTCCCCAGCTGTGGCCAAAGCCATGGCCCCTTCCCATCACACCATGGCCAAGACATGTCCTTACCACACACAGGCTGCATTGCCTCACGCTGCAGAGCAGGGCTGCCATGGCACGGCAGATCAGCCAGGTTGCATTTGGGAATACCCATTTGCTCCCAAAAGTGCAGGGAAGAGATTCAGACCCCGGCTCTTGATGAGGGTTCCCTCTGTCACACTGTGGACGTGGTATTATTCACATACAACAGTCAAATACCACATACCAATGCAACAAAACCCAGGAGATCTGACTCCACACCCTAGGAAAGGGAGCATTTGTCCTGGCTACATTGTGAAATGCCGGTACCTTTCCTAAGGTGGCACAGAGAGGGAGTTTGGTGTCCACTGCACCCCTTGGCACGGCCAGTGACCAAAAGACAGAAGTCATAAGTCCATTTGCAAATGTGTGGGACTGCGGCCAGCTTCCTTCAAAGCAGAAGGCCCCCAAGGTACATTATTCTGAGGGAATGGATTGCACAGCCAGAGGACATGTAAGTGTGGACAGAAAAGCACTGAGACAACATTTTGATCAACACGGTTCTCCTTAGAGGCCCTCTCAGAATAGCCTTCTCTCACACAGGAAACAGAGCCTGAGGAAAAGGACACAGAGCTTGAGAATCTTGAACAGCATTTTGCCATAGACAACTCCTGCGGCCACAGTCTGGCTGAGTCATTGTACCTCTCCTTCTCTCTAGTCAGATAGGGAAAGCAGCCCTTCTCTGCTCAACACGGCCATTGCAAGGTGCTCAGATAAAATGAGGAAGATAAGGATTGAGGCTCATACCTTATCCAGGTTTAAACAGTGATGTACAAAAGCACAATCTATATAAAGCTTGCATTTAAAACCAGGCTTCTGTGTTCAACTGCAGGTGCTCAGAGAACAGAGGTTTTACACTACTTAGAAGATGCCTTGTGCTGTCCCAGACCTATGCACAGGGACAGCACTGGGATTTAGCAAAGAATCTGATCTGTTTTAACAGTTGCAGACGGCCCAAAATGGAAGTGTTCAGTGGGTCAGGGCCTGTTTTCCGATGCTGTGGTGCCCTTGGTTTATTCTGGTATCACTCCATTTAAACAAACAGGTCATTAGCATGGACACAGTGTGAGCCAGACCCCGAACATTCAAGCTAATATTCAACCCTTTGCTTATTCCTCCATATGCTTCATACAACACATAGTACAAATAAAAATTACACCTTGTGCAATTCTTGGACTCACTGGTTGGCTCTGAATTTCCTGCGTAGCAAAAGTTAAGAGAGACATCAATCCTGTTCTCACTTTCAGCGAGACCAAAGATGAACTCAGCTTTGTTGAGGTAACATGCATTAATGGCAGCCCAGGGTTCATCCCAAACCACACTACTTAGCTTGTCTGTCCTCATTAGCTTTTAGTCACTGATGAAGCAACAGGGCAGAGCTCTACAAACTTCTGCTTGGTGCCATTCAGTTACAGATATTATGGGCAGTCTGTAATCCAGAGGCCCATGAAGTATCCTTGGTACCCAACGGGTATTAGCTGGAAAGGAATCAAAATTTTGTTCACCAAAATATTTATATTAGCTGAGAAAGCCAAACTCTGCCAAGAACGGAGCTGGCGAGCTTCCCTGGAGTGTCTCTGCCAGTGTGGAAAACACAGAAAGCACCCCCACCTACCACAGCCCCTCTGTGCATGCCCAGGGCTGGTTTAGCTTTTAAGTACAGTGCCAACTATTTGTAAGGCCTCAAAAATCTGGAAACTTTTGAGCGCAGCAGCCGAATGAAGGATCTTGGGAACATCTCTCTTGACTCTTGGGCTGTGTACTTGAAGTAGTTCTGTGGATGTGCCAACACGTCAAACAATGCTTTTATCAGCTTCTTGTCCTAGAAAAAGGAAAGCAGTATTACAGTAATTCCAGAGAGGAGTTAAGGTCAGTATTACCAAAGTTTAATGACTGTTTAACTCATAAAAGATTATGGGCATTTTACTTTTCAAGTACTAGGGCTTGGAAACTAGTGGAGCAAGGCTGACATTCAGGCCCCAGTGACATCACTGGAGTTTCACATTAGCAGCACCAGGATTTCTTCCCTCCTCATACTTCCAAGAACAGCAAACAAACAAACAAACCACAGAAGAAGCACACACTTGATCTGATATCCAGCAAAATAAAGGTTTGCTTGGGATGAAATGCATTCAACTTGTCTATGCAAGTCCCCTAACTAAGGTCAGAGAAATCCACAAAGAGATATTTTTTGCGCAGGAAGGAAAAACCTTTGCTAATCTACAGGCTACAAGTAGCAGCACCAAGTGCTTCCCCAAGAAATCAAATGCCATGTCCCTCAGTCTGCTCCACCACTTCCTTTCAGCACAGTCTACTGAAAGGGCTATCGTTGCCACAGATTTCCCTAGTAGGTCTGATCCACCTTTAATCCTCCTGGGCAAAGGGTCTCATATCCATTGCTCTGCACAATCAGGATCTCCCGACTGACCCCATTTCCCTGGAGCATACAAATCTAATGCACCAAGGAACAGACCTGATCAGAGCAGGAAGCAAACTCACTCTCACCAAATAACATCATTTTCAATCAGAACCAATATGCTTAGTGGAAGGCATGTACCTTAAGTATTTCTTGATGATTTTCAGATGCATAAAGTCTACCATCCCGAACAATGTCTTCTATTAGTTCTTGGTAATCCTCTATGGGGAATGCACAAGAGAGTAATTTGCAGGTTCACTTCACATACATACTCAATACTTCCCTTGGTTCTTCGGCCCCCAGAAGAACCAGTAGTACTTGGCCCTCATATTAGCAGCCAGAAATTATTCCAAATGCTTTTCTGTAAAGAAACTACAAATACTGTTTACAATGAGAACAGTGTACCATGCTGAGCTGCCCAGCATCAATCTGTCATAAGCAAAAGAAATCATAAAGCACTTAAGAATGTAGTGCACACTGTAACCACCAACTGCACTGCAGGAACCCACCTGTAAAAAACCACAACCTGCTATTGACTTTTTTCCACAGGAAAAGGGATTAAAAAAAGGAGGTAGGGGGAAGCTTTCCCCTGGAAAATTAAGTATCCACTGTTGATGAAACTCTGCAGACTGCAGCAAAGATGACTCCTCCATCATTAATCCAGTGTGAACAGAACATACAATATCACTTCACTTATGCTGAAGTGCAAAGCCTCAGCTCCAGTTTCACTTCTGATGATTCTGGCAAAGACAAGGTGAAAATCTTTCCCCTCAAGCTTTTTTTCAATATAGGTATTTTGCTATCTGATCACAAATGGTAGCAGCAACACGATAAACCAGAGGCACTTGGGCTCTGCCTACTTCCTAACTGGGGGCACTATCGCCACCTGAAGCAACCCAGAACTGGGAAGGCACAAAAGTGCATAAAACTTAGATTCTAGTTCTGAGCTCTGCAATTTGCAGGCCAGAGCCCAAAACCCTAGATCTTTCTTTAGGTCTGTGGAAGGCTGGAAATACAGTGGCACTTAAGACTACAGTGCAATGCAGAATTTCTTTAACTATCTTTAAATGAAAACAGCTACTGGGAACAACTCACAGTGACACTGCTGAGAGCACTGGGCTACCCTGCTGCTTGGGGAGTGGAGTTCTGCACTGCTGCAGCTGCTCTGGTCCACACAGGCTCAGCTGCTCACACCCACTTACCATCATATGTTACATAAGGAACTTGGAATCCTTTGGCACTGTTCCCTTCATTCGACTTGAACTGGATCCACAATTTCTTAGACCTAGAAGTGAAAGCTATGGGGCGTTCGTAGGTTTGACAGGTCTCGTACGTGGTCACTGAGTTGGAAGAAGCTTTCAAAGGAAACACACAATAGGCAGTTATCTGACAGTGCTTCACACTAGCAAACAGTTAGAAAATAGGTTACACTACCATGACAAAAATGCTTGCTGGTGGTAAGAAGAGTCCTCAAAATGTGGCAGGCCATCAGTGGATGGCAGGCCATCAATGAGTGACTTCTTGGTCAAGGAATATTTTCCCTTTTCCTAAAAGAAACAGCCTACTGTTTGAAGGACATGACTACACTAGAAACTGAAGCTGTTTATTCACACATCAGGCACCTTCAGGGGATTAGCAAGCATCTCCTCTTTCCTAATCTAGTCTAGAACTAGGCTCAGCATAGTACATGGTTAGTTAGCTTGAACCATCTACCCATTCTTAACAACTTCTCAGAGTTCACTGACACATCATAGCCTTGCACCCTTCTTTCACCCAAACCTATGGAGCAGCATTACCAAACAGGACTTCTCAATTTGCCATTTAAAGAAATTTCAACCCTTAAGAAGAGGCCAGCCAGGCTACATTTAGTTTACGTAAACAGAAATTCATGTAAGAAAACAGTGTTGCCTGTGTTGTAGATATTTCAGACTTACAACTCTTTCTCATCACCAGGTAATCTCCACACTCATCTTCTATTGGTAGAAATATTTCTGGAACCACAATCAGAATACGGCGCTTTGGTGGTGGGTTAATGTTCCAAGTGCACTCGGTGTTGGCAGGATAGTCCCCAGGATAGTTTGGTGATTCAATATATCCAGTGTAATCTCCCAGCTCACCTCCACACTGCCTGTCTGAAAAAGCAACATGGTATGCAAGACAAGGAAAAGTGAGAGCATCCCACAGCTCCTCTGCAGTCACTGTCAGGAACAGTACACGGGTGACAGACGGGCACACTTTTCTGTTTGCAGCTGGAGCAGGTACAGTTCTCTTTGCCAGCTTCTCTTCACACTGCTGCCTGCTTCTGCCTGGCTATTTTAATCAATGTTGAGATATAAAAACACAGATTAGTCCCTGTTAATACAGCAGGTGCTATGGACGAAGCCATAGCCAAGCAGCAAGGCAAGGCAGTTGTAAGAGGGCACAGCAGTGGCAAAACAAGGATGCTCCACTTGCTTATACTAGGCAGAACTTTTATACAAGTACCAGCTGAGGTCAAACTGGAGCCTGAGGTGCTCTGCTCAGTCACTATATCTGCAGCAGCACAGAAGAGGGAGTACAGCAGGCCCTTTCTCTGCACAGATAGCATTGCTGGCAGTAACAGAGGGTAAACCCCACTGCAGATTGCTTTGCCAGTGCTTCCCAACTCTGTGCAGCAACAAGGGTTTGGGCACTACAGCCCTGTAAGAATGATGTGTGGCTGTGACATGGACAGGGAACAGATTCTATAAGTGAGAGACATGCAGTCTCCAGAAAAACATTTCTGTGTAGGTATGTGTGCATATGTCTGTGTGTATATAAGTGTCTCCAGAGGTGGTTCTGAGCAGTCACCTCTCTGCCCTCTATTTTCCCTCTTTAATTTACCCTCAGCTTCCCACACTACAGCTACCATAAATCTAGAACAGTGGTTCTATTTGTAGTTGCCTTTTTTAAAGGCTGTTATTAAGAAGAAATGGTTACTAGAGTTGTTAAGTTTTGTGAGCCCACTCCTTATTCCTTTTAATAGGAGGGGGAAAAAAATCAGGGTGCCAAGAACATATAACTCTGTTATATGAGGGGAGAAAAGATTTAATAGCGAGATCCTAAGCAATCCAGCACCAACAGGCAAGACACAAGCATCACTTACCATACAAGAATGATGGAATCAGTCTGCAGAAATGGTCTCTCATAGACCTCAGTAAGTCATGTGGGGTGAAATGCAGGCAGGCAGCAAAAGAGGAGCAACACCTCTGCCTTCTCTCCAAGCTCCCTAGAGCAACACTAAGTTCTGCCCTTAGGGCCACTCTGAACATTAATGGTAAGAGATCATCAAAACCATCTTCCTATACTTACTTTTGCACTGTGTTATATTTGTTGACCCATCAAAATCAGTAGTGGTGTTTCCAGGGCATGCAATGCAGTAATTTTGTCCAAACTCAGGCTGGTATGTCCCAACTGCGCAGCGAATACACCGATGAGTTGTGGTATTATAAAAGTGGCCAGGTGAACACTGAACTGGACAGTAATTAAATATGCATCACGGTTAAAAGAGTGGCAGTAGCATAAAATATGACTTTATAGATTTATATATGACCTAGTACAATTTCAGCAACTGAAATGCCACATTCATAAACAATGAGGGTAACAAAGCAGAGGTAATTGAACAAATTTCAGTTTATCAGCTCATTTTGTGCAAGTTCAGAATTCCCAAATGCAACACAATAGAGCAGTTCTGCGTGAAAGCAGCAATAAAAGACATGGGGGAGTGAATATAACCACCATGATTTTGTAAGAAGGACACCAAGTAGAACAGCATGTTACCAAATGGTCTAGCCACAGGCATTTGACTTGGAAGACAGACTATCAGTGGAAAATACTAACTAAACCTTTCTTCCCTGCCTGCTCATGCCAGGCAGCATGGGCACTGCTGCTGCATCTTGGACAGCCCTGAGAGCAGCTCAGCCCAAGCAGAGGTGAGAGATGCTGGTCCTCTACAAGGGGCACGTTGTATCAATATTAGTGACTAAATTGGTATATTGTCACCTTGTCTTATGATCACACCTTGTCCTTCAACAACAGACCATGACTCAGGGTACAGTCACCTCCACCAGCTCTGCTGCTGCTTCATTTCATCACATCACAAAGTCATCATGTTAGCAAGACACATGAGCTGTACCCCTCACAGGGCTTGCTGAGAGCACCTCCTGCATCACCAAAGTGAGGCCCCATTCCAACAACACCACTCTTCCATAAACACAACAGATTTTATGGAAGTTTTAGATGAGAGATAGACAGACATAGAGGGGAAATACTTTCTAGCAGACTTGCAAATTTTTTCCTAGTTCCCTGCATGCAGACAAGAAGATTTTCCTCTCTTACTGAAATCTGAGAATACAGGACTCTAAACACCTTTGTTTACATCTCTAATTTGTGGATTTTGATTTGATTTTGCCTAGCTATTCTGTACCTATGCCCATCATCAACTGTGTTGAAACTTAAAGCAGTCAGGAGCATCAGCCATATGTTATCTTTGCTCTTAATTCCATCACTACCTTGCTTCTTTTTTCTTGTGGGGTTCAAAAAAAAAATTTCCTATTCCTTTTACCTCATTTGGCAAGTTTATCTCTCTCAGCTCAACATCAAAATAATTTACTATCTACTATCAAATGTAGTTTTCTGTGCTGCACAGTCCCTTTTTTTCTTTTCTTTTTAAGCTCTGCTTACTCCTAAATAATTCTAGTCTTGTTGAGCTTTGCAAGCTAGCTCAGCCTGGAATCCTTCCCTATGTGCTGCCCCAATTCAAATGCTTCAGATACAAGTTCCAAATAGTTCTTGCATCTGTGATTCTATGTCTCATGTGGCCTCTTCCACATGCAAATCCCTGAGCTCTTCATTCCAGTTAATAGAAAAAACTCCTTTAATCTCCACTCCAATTTGAAAACTGAACCTCATTTATAGACTTGATTTTGTTTATGCTAAAATAAAACTGAAATCACTTCCTCTTATCTTGATCCAAAGTTTTTAATGTGTTCTTTTAGTACTTCAATTTTTCAAAATTAAGTATGAAACAACTCCATTAGTGGATTTAGTGATTCTTCACTGAAGAAATTTTAGATATCACACTATTACCAGTAACATTAATTCTTTAACAATATTGCAAAATTCTTATAATATGTTGCAATTCTCAACAGTAAACATATCTTAACTGACACTAGACAGAGCTCTTAATGCAAACCACTACCAAATGTTTGCATCAGGACCTTATTTCCATACCTTATTGTCACTCTGCAGCAGTGGATTTCCTAATAAGACTTTTTCCTCGAGTGATTTTTATTAGCAATTTTCTTTTAGGACATTGAGCAAACCATTATGCTGATTAACATTTCATTTCTCTCCACAGACACATATATTTATCACCACTTTCAGAGACAATTTTATAGCTGCCTTTCAGCTTTTTAAATTTTAGATACTAAAGATGCTAACAAAATTCCATCATTTTTAAAGATATGATCCCCATTTAATTTTCAGTCCTGCGATAAAACCTTGGGAGCTGATAGCATGTCAGCTCCGCTGTGATCAAATTTAGACAGTTGTCTGAGGTGCCACAGGGTTAAGCTGAATGCTCATTTTTTAGGTTTAGCCCAAGGAACACAAGTCAGTTTCCCATTATAAACACGAAGAAAATATTTTCTTACTTATCCACTACGACTGAAATTGCCTCCTTTACATTTTCGTGTTGCTGCTGCACTTAAAACCCAAAAAGTCTTGAGACTTTTTCTTCCTTTTGTTCCTTTATATGACTCTTCACAGATCAACAGCTTTACTGATCAACTTAGGTAGATGTCCTAATCCCTTCTAAGGTCTTGTGTAAAAATCAGTTACAGAAAGTATTTAGGCTTTACTGAGCTTCCCTGAAGCCAAGCCAGGCCAGCCAGCTCTGAGACTGATGGAAGGACTGGTCCTTGAAAGGAGAAAGATCCTTCTCTGAATGCCCTGCTTGGAGCAGTGCCAGTTACTTTTGCCTCAGAGTAACACAGTTCATCAAATAAATCTCGACCTTACCTTTGGCCTCACAGTCCTGAAACAAGGATGCACTGCTATGTCTTGTCGTCAGACCTCCTCCGCAGGGAAAGCAGGATACTCTCCCAGCTTCAGGCTGGTATGTCCCCAGGGGGCACGGCAGACACGGTTTGAAGCCATCAGGAGAATGTTCACCCGGGGAGCACTGATCTGGAAGAGGAAGGACACACTTGCTTCAATCTGCACATTGCAGATGAAGGCATGTTACTGAGCCTGCACAGGACCTGAAACCTCACGGTGAAACTGCTCTCCTCCTTCCTTGGGAAGTGGGAACCAGGGTTTCAGAACTGAACACAAGCAACAGCATTAACAGAACTCAATACATCCAATGTACAGCGTCAGACAGAAACAGACACTGGTAACCTTTGGTGCTAGTGAGCTCTTCTGTGAGCTGGAATGGATTTCATGCTTTGTTGCAAGGCCACACTGGACACTCGGCCCATCCAGTGCTTTCTGCTCATCTGCACAGTGCAATTGTATACTGACTATCTCCCCTTTCTAGCTAAAGAGCTCTTGGACTCCTCTCAAGTGAAATAATTTAGTACTGAACCTAAGAGGCCAAAAATGTACTTCCAGATCTCTATAAGTATTTCAATCTTAATGTTATTGAATATTCATACTTCATAACCGTTAGCATTACTATATTGTGGTGTGAACCTTGAGCACCACAAGTAATGGGGTAAATTCATTAAACTAAACATTATGCATGCCTCAAAGACTTTTAAAGTAGAAATATTCTTGCCATTCCTCTGATACTGGATCTTAGATAATTATCTGTGCACTGGATTGTTGTGTTCTGTGTGGTACATGGAGAACGCTAAATCTGACTGATTTTACTTAAAACACACACCTCAATATTATCTAACAAGCCTAGCAATATTTATAAGTATCTTTGAAAAGTTCTGGTTTTCAAACTTTTCACAAAAGAACTGGCTTTCAGTGCCAGTATTTAATAATTACCCTGCTCTGGAAAGGCACAAAACACTGTTGCAGTTGTTCAGCTGTGCTGAAAAATTCTGTCCTTTTAAGACCTGTTACGATAATAAACTGTTAGTTTTAGTTTATAGCTCCAATAAATCACTCAGTGAATAGCTGTTTTGTTAGGAAGTTAAATTGGCCTTGGCTTCATTTCAGGATATATGACTAACAACAAGCAGGGCATTAACTACCGGTCATGATCAATGATGAAGAGTTTTGTTTATGGCTGATACACTGCGTGGAAGAGTCAGTGTTCCTCTTTAGCTTAAAAATAAAATACAGCAGGTTAAGCAATGCTCTGCAGCTTATCAATGAAAGCTTTTGAGGAAGTCTTAGCTCTTGGTTCTAACTATTTCCACCACACATCACTTCTGCCCTCATAAGGACACACATTCATTTGCTCCCACACTTTTCAAGCCTTTCTCCATTTTATAAACATTCCTACAGAACACTCATCTCTGTACACTTTGTGCACTTCAACAAACATGAATGAATTAAGGCTTTCATTGCAGCACTCCAAATAAGGTAAGGAAAGAGCACTATTTACAATTCCACGACAAGGAAAGACAATCAAGGTTAGTAAAGGTGATTTTGAGAAGTGGCTACTGACTTCAGAAAGCCTGGAGCAATGGAAAGACCAGTGCAAATCTCCTTCCCTCAAAAAACTCCACAGCTCTATGAGAAATCCATGCTCTGAGTGGCATCACTAGAAACTATCTGCTCTCTGCTATCTCCCCTTAGCCTGTCCTTTTACATTCATTTTAATCACATGTCAAGTTTGGAGTGGTTTGGGGTTTTTCTTTTACACTTGGGAGAGGGAGTATCTCTGTTCTGTGTTTTGAACAGAATGTTACTTTACATTGACCATACAAATTCAACATTAGAACTGTACTTCAGGTTTCCTGAAGTTGCTCAAAGTCCAGCATAACAGTAGGACAGTTATCAGAACTCAAAGAAAACCTGTCCCAGGCAGAAATCAAACCCACTACTTATGTGGAAATGTTACATTTGAGAACTTATCCCATCAGATCTCTCTTGACAACTTTATTATCTGCAGCTTACTTGTCTTGACACCACATGTTGTAAAACTGTAGAGTTCCCCATGGAACAAAACTGAGTTAATTTAAATCTTCCAGGATTATTTAGCAAAGTGCCTACTTTCTGAAAATTTGCATTGAGGAAGCAAACTTAAGACCTCCTCAGACATCACTGAGATCCTCCAAATGGGGCATCCTTAGATGCCCTGCATGAGTGAACTCTGAGAGGAAAAGATGGGACAGAAGCATCCAGTGGTCTGTTTCTGTGCCTTACCTCCACATTGAGACACACTGTGAGCTCCAGCTAATTTTTGGGTTCCAGGATTCTGAGAACTGGGGCAAGAGTAACAAGTTATTTTTCCTTCCTCATCCTTGTTAAGTTTTACTGGGGCATAAACCACGCAACTTTCTCATTCCCCATCATAGTACATTCACATACATCAACTAAACAAGAAAGAAAATATCAGATCTAACATCTAACACTAACATTCTGTGTCTGTGGGTTCAAACCCAAATTAGGTTGCCAGCTGCTGGATTGCTAGAGAAAGTGCAAGGTGATAGAAAGACTATGGTCACACAAGTATTAGATCTGGTCAACTGCAATGTAGCAGTTTCTGTGCACTGAGAGAAGGTTGATATTAATCTGAGATCAATTAAGCTGTTCTGGAGCTACACTCCAAGTGCTTCAGGCCCCATTTCCCACTTGCACTAACTGTTCCAGGGATGCATAGTGGCAGGTCAGCAGGATGGTGGGCTATGCCTGTGACAATCCCCACAGAAGAAACACAGGGCTGAGACAGTGAAACACAGGAACTGTATAAAATCAGTATGGGTCAAAACTTTTCAATTAGATCTGAACCAACCAAATCAAATATTTTCTTTTGATTTTCCTAAAAGGTGTCAACAACAGAAAGAAAATTGTGTTAAAAAAAAAAAGGTTAACTAGCCACCACCACCACTGTAATAGGGTGTTCAAAACCAGCTGAAAAAGCTGTGTACAGTGTGGTGGTTACAGCCATGCACTAGCTTGCAGAGAGAAAAGGATCAAGTAGGAGGACACAGGACAGGCTGCCCCAACGTTAAAGGCCATGTAACATCTCCTCAGCTCTTTCAGTACGAACTGCAGATTAAAATGAAGAATATCTGCTTGGGCAACAGCATCTTGCTGGAGAAGAAACAGGCTGAGAGAGGACCCCAGCTGGATGAGCAACAGGCTTGCTCTGTGTGCCCACATGGTTTGGGATCACAGGACACCACCACCCCAGCTGACCACCCTCTGCCCCAAAAATCACTGCTTATCACTATCAGAGCCCCAGCGTGTGGAGGGGCCTTCCAAGACAGAGCAGGTGAGGGGCACACTAATTGCTTTTACAATAGGGGTGACTGGCTTATGAAGCAGCATAACTTTCTTCTGAGACACACCAAACACTTCAGGCTTTGATAGATCCTATGTGTATATGAGAAAAAGAGGTTAATACACCCAGATACAGATTTAGCTATTTACAGTCTAACAAATATTCATTATTCAATGCAAATATTAGAATTACTCCAAGTGATGTCCAAGTTTTAATGCCTCAGGCTCTCAAATATATCAGTTTCTTCACATGACCACATCAAGCCAAACTTTTCAGAGTGGTAAAAGTGTCCAGACAATTTGATCCACAAACACATTCCCTGTAAAATGCTCCAAGTTCTTCCTCATGTTCCACCTAGAAATGTTTCAAATAAAGGCCACTCATCTAGTAACACTGGAGTACAGAGCAGGGGTAATGTGGAAAGCCTATTTAGAAGCTCACAGCATTCAGCAGGGCCCAATTTAGCCTAACAAATAGATTTAGTGTTAGATTCAATTATAGTAACATTAATTATAGGGCCATTATTTCAACACAGAAATAATCTCCCAGAAATCCATAGGACTGTGCATAAAGCTAGGATGAACCTTCTCTTAAAACAAAACAAAACAAAACAAAACAAACAACCCCCCCCCCAAAAAATCCACAAGAAACACCTCTAAGAAGTTTGACCTTTACTGACATCTGTTTAAATGAAACAAAAAAGAAGTTTATGAGCTTCATTTCACAAAACTGCACGGTCCCACCCGACACATGGGAAATACCCAGTCAAAACTAGATCTGAAGATTTGCAAATAATGACATTAAAACACAATTCCACTGGCTGGCTTTGCTCTTTTTTCAGAAACCTGATTGTTTTTCTCCAAATGAACAAAAGAACCAATTGCCTCCAGTAGACTTCATTTCTGCAGCCACTGTCTTTGTTTATCTTCAATACCCATTAAAAACCTGGTCTGGAGTCTCATGTAGCTGTTTTAAAGAAAAAAAAAAGTGAAAGGTTTTCTGATGCAAAAACAAGAAGAAAAGGAGGGGGGAAGAGAGGGGCCCACAGGGAACCAGGATTAACAGTTACAAAGACATTTAAAGGCTCTTCCCCTCTTTTCAACACATTAGCCTTTGAGCATTTGCTCCTATAGACAAACGCTGTAGTATCTCAGGGGCTGAGAAGGTGAACCTCATAAAGGAGGTCATGATCCACCAATTCACCATTTTCTTAAGAATGATGCCTTGACTTTATAAGGAAAATCGCCAAAAAGGGATGCAAATTGATTCTGAAGCGGCATCCTTTAAGTTATTGTGTTTTAGCAGTTCACACATTTAGGTCACATGAGAGGGTTATGCATTCTGAGGATTTATGCCTTAAATCTATAACTGTCAGAGCAGGCAGGTTAGCAGAAAAATAGCACCCTTTCTCCCCGTTTGATAGTTCATTTTTTCTTGTTGGATTTTCAAAACATACTAAAAAAAAAAAAAAAGAAAGGCAGCACAGTTCTCTGCTGTGTAACACGACTATTAATTATAACAAGTGCAAAGGAAGGCAGCATTTTGCTTTTCTATTTAAATCCCCCTCTCATACTTTTACAATGCCAGTACCATACCACATCTAAACTTCGAAATGTCACTTTGGATGATAAGTTAATATTTTATTTGCAGGGGGCAAAACTGCTGAATGCTGAGCAAGGAAAAGCATTGACACCTCCCATGCAAGATGAGGCTGCTCATGGTTTACATCAGAGCAGTGCCTATGCCAGTGCTGCCCATGCTTGCTCTTCTCTGAAGTGACAGTTCTTTGGAAGAACCCACTTTGCAGCTATTGTGGAGCAAGGACACGCTCACATGTCCATTTATGCAGCATTTTCAGGAAATGGTAATTCTCATTGCCTCTTTCCATCTCTTAAAGCACTGGCGTGTCTAACACGAAAAAAAAAATCAAATGGAACAGGCAAGGTGTACTTTCAACTCCATAGGATCAGAGTTTTAAGCAACAGAGAAGCAGTTAAATTACTTGTTGTTTCTTCCTCAGTGGAAAGTCCCTGAGGGCAAAAGGATCCCAACAGATATGAACTTATTATCTTCCAATATGGAGGCTTTTGGTAAACCAGTTTCAGATAAAGAATTGTTAGTATTTAAACAGCTGGTCCTTTGGCTGTTAAATCTGTCTAAAGTCTAGCTCATACTAGAGAATGGATACTTGTAGCCAGGCTAGTGAGTGAAACTGCATTCTGCCCAAGACAAATCTCATCTCAAGGAAGCATGTAGTGTTTCCAGCATCCTCAGACAGTTCACATGCAGTCTTGAAGCACTGTCATTCAAATATGCATTTCTTTACCTGAAAATTTACTTCAGTGTGGAAAGATCACACTTCTCCTATGAGAATCCAGTTCTCTGGGAAGGTTGATGAAAGTTCTATATTGCTATATGCTTTTCCTGTGATATCCATTATTAGAGACCTACCACTGGTTGCTCCTTGGAAGCACAGGACTTCATGGAATTAATCAACTTTAATTAATCAATGCTGAATACAATTACTTATTGACACAGAACTCGCACATAAGGCAGACAAATGCAACACTTGAACCTCTAAAGCACTTGGAAATCCCAAACAGAACCATACATTGAACAGCAAACTTGAAATAAAAGACACTATGCCTGTAATCAGCAGTGAATTCCCTTTTACCGTCAATAACTGTTTAAAGAACAGCAGACACACATGCACAACCATCCAGCACATTAAAATACTTTGGAAATCACATCTAATCTGCTTCTGGTGCATTTCTAAAGCTTTCCTTCTGTGCTGTGCCCTGCCACAGACAGTGGGAATTAAGACAAGAAAATCAGGAATAGTACTACCTCTCCAGAAGCGTGAAACCAAATGAAGTTTAGTTTGCTGCTGCAACTGCAGGCCAGTTATCCTACACAAAAGCTGTCAGAGCAGGTGCTGGAATTTCCCTCTTACACTGCTCAAATATAAATAATGTTTCAGATAATGCTGTGCCAGGATAAGTCTACCACAGGAAAAGCATCAGCACTAGACTGTCTGAATAAATAAACCTTATCTAACCTAGCCATACTCCCAAGTATTTGAAAACAATGAACTAAAACCTGCATTTTACTCATTAACTGTATCATAGAAGACTTGTAAGTCCCTGTGACTTACTTTGTTCCCTCACTGCTTCCTGCTCCTCCAGCCAAACTGAGCAAAATCTCTTTGCCAAAGTCCTCTGTCTAGAGACTACATCCACCACCTGCACTGAATCCATCTACTGACCTAGTACCTCTTGCTGTATAGTCCCTTTCTCCCCAGAACCATCAGCATATCTAGGTAAGCAGGGCCTCAATCCTGTCCAGAAGTTCTCAAGCAGCTCTGCAAAACAATCAGATCAAAATAAAAAAACCCCACCCTGACTCTTCCACACACGTCCCTGAGCAAGCTTCTTCCCCTTCTACACACTGTTCCTACTCCATTCTCTTCTCCCCAGTCTATTTCTCAGCTCATTCTGACTGGCAGTCCAAGCAGCAGCACCAGCCCCCAGTCCTGCCTTGACCATACAGCCTGGGACAATCAGCTTTTTCTAAGGAAATGAGGCGTACTTAACAATACAGCCTCTGTGGGGACTTTTGTGTCCTCTCAGCAACTAGTGAACCGTCTGTCCAGCTCCCAGCAATCTGACAAGTGATGCAGAGAAGTTTCAAAGGCACTAATTTTCTGTACATTTAACATAAATAAGCAGGGAACATGCAAGTGGAAGGAGAGAAACCTTCTCAGCACCCCTGCAAGTGAAAGGCTGTAGTGCAAACTCCATCTCCTGTTTGATCACAGCAAATATACCCAAGGATATGGTCTGAATACTTCAGCTGAAGAAAGGAAGATGATTTAGTGATTGTACCTTGTTTGGCATGAACAAATCGAACCATAAAGCACAAGACCCACAGAGGATCTTACACTCATTTCACTGCTCAGAGCAGCACCTCTTAAGATATCCAGAGCAAACTGTGGCACCAATTCAGCAACAGAAGAGGCCCAACTTTTGCAAGCTGTTCTTTAAAATATTTGTCTTCATATGCTCAGTGACTCTGCTTTAACCATAATCAGGCTATTGTGCTCACCACACCAGTTTTCCAGGCAGGCATTCCCCAAAAGCTTCCTTTCTCTCTAAAGGCACAGAAATGCCACGTATGCTTCTCACTTGTACTGAGACATTAAACTGGTTCTGCAGCTACCTAAAAAAAATTGTGTTTCTTTGGTGTTCCAGCTTCTATTTGTAACTCACATTGCCTTCTCTACCTGCAGTATTTTTAGCTTACTCATTGCTGTTTTTTCCAGATGAAAACACAAACTTCTTCAGTCATACTGTGCTCTGTACAATGGACTGAGACAGATTTTTTCAGTGTCTCCCTCCAGCATCCAACACAATAGCTTGAAAACACCCACATAAACTCATCTTGGTGAACTTTCCAAAGTTTTTCAGACTTACTGCAATGTTACAAGAAAAAAAAAATGGAAAAGAAAACTTCCAGCTTTTTCCGACAGAATTCCTGATTAATTCCCTGCTTGCTCTCACAGATGTTTTAAACAATTTTTCTGTTCTACAAATCCAAGTTTTTCTAGAGTGAGCAAAACTGGATTGGAAAACCTATTCTTAGGCCAAATGTGTTGCTGCTGGAAGACATACTAATTCAGTCTGACAAGCATTTTAAAGGCTTGCTGATCGACAATCCACCTACATGCTGCCTACCCCATGCTGCCTGAATTAGCTGTCATGGTTGTTAGCCCCTGTTAAGACGTAACATCTGACCCCTCTCCTTAACTTTTGTGCTTTGGAAGCATTTATTATGGACTGCATTATGGTGGTGCCCTCCAGTGCCATGATAATTAAGACTTTTCTCAGTACTGGCCTATAAAACCCCTATTCCCCATGAATTCATAACTCAGTCATGAAGATTCTCTGGGGCTCAGAGCTTAAGGGGCAAAGCCAACAGGACTGTATCAAATTCTGCACAGCCTTTTCTTTGGAACAAGGGAGAGATGAAAGGTGCACAAGTTCAGAAACACAGTGTTACACTGAACATTAAATGTAGTCTTAAAAATAACACTGGTGATGTCAAGGCCATTGGTGCCTGACTTTATTCCTACGATTTCTACCTTTGAGCTTATTGCAGGTTGTACATCAGCTATAACAAGGTGCAATGCACTGAACCCTTATTCTACTCTGTAACGCAGCAATTGCCAACAATAAACACATAGAGAGACATCTCAGTAGCACTAACAGTAACCTCCACTTCACACACAGCCCTCCTCTCTCCTGGACAAGCATCCCATGATCCCTCCAAGCTCACCACACCTGAGCAAAACAGTGAAACGCACGTGGATGGTTTGTTCCTAATTCACACATAACTTACCACATCTGTTACCCAGATGCATCTGTCCTACACCACAGGACTGCTGTGGCTCTGAGGGCCTGAGAGACTTTCTGGCCACTTCGTGGTCCATGCCAGAGACGCGGATGCGGAACTGGTCCCTGCTGACTGTTTTCCGCAAGGTTCGAATGGTTTTGCGGAACCTCTTTTCAGTCTTCTTCCGAGCACAGCGCACATCACACGTGTCTGAAAAGCATCAAGGGTGAAAGCTGCTATAAGTGACCGTGCACAAAAATACCCACCCAATCCAAAACACCAACCAGTGCAAATCACTGAGAAATCACTTCTGTGCACAAGTCTGAAATCCTTAAGGACTACATCACGAGGCTGGAAGAAAATTAATCAGACTGCAAGACTTCAATCCATGGGCAGACCTTAAATCTTTGAAACTATCCCCATCCGTCACTCTTTCCGAACCATTAATTTTCAAAACAGGAGATACTTTTTTTTACCATTTTGCATACAGATAGAAGTGAAAAAATATGGAAATTAAGGAGCAAACAGCAAGAAGCTTCAAACCGCACCTTGGATTATTTTCCAACCAACCTGTCACCTCCTTCCGGCTTGTTTCAAGCTCAAAGTCCGCAGTGATAACAATTTCTCTAGTCGCTGTCAGTCTACTGAGGGCTCCATGAACTTTCTTGCCAGAGCTGCATGTTAGGTTTACATAGTGGAAGCTCTCCATTACTGAATTATGTCTCTCTGTATGAACAAAATTAAAGGATGCAGAAGCTTGGCCGGCTATGTTATTGAATGCAAATGTTATGCTCAGCAAATATGTCATCATGAAGAGTTAAAGAAGAGGAAACAAAGACCTCCACATGCCAGTAAATAAAGTTTGGCCAGTTTTTCTACTGGCACACTCTAACATAGAATTGTGACTCCTGTGCACCTACAGATGTGCTGCCAGGCTGAGACTGGGGCACTGCAGCCCATCTGAATCATCACTAGGATGGGAGCTTGGCTGCAGTGCTCAAACCACATCCCCTGGGCTTTGTTACCAGGTTCTAAGGAATTGCCTTTGCACTATGCAAAGCATCTTAAAACCATGACACTGCCTGCATCAGGCAGGCTACTCAAGGGAAGAAATTTTGTACACATATGAAGAATGTGAATAACACACTAGCTTATAATGGTGTTTAAATTAAGTAGTGGTTGCAATACACAAGACATTTGGAGACCATTTTCATGGCTTCAATGAGGAAATAATATTTAATTAAAGAAAACACCCAGAATAAGCTTTGGTTCTGGAGTACATAACTCTTCACTGAGCATCTAGGGTAGTTTCTCACTGTCACTCTGCTGCGGACAAACAATCAGATACACCGATTCATCATATTGTTTAATGACTCCTTTTCCCAGCTCCATTTATTTGATTTTATTTTTTTATATGTACTTCTCCTCTTTCTCTGCTCACTTTGTAAATTCGCAGACTGTACTTTCTGATTTGGAACAGAGCTGACCTCACTGTGTCCATCTAGGGTTGCTGAAGTATAAAAGGAAAACAAGGGAAAAGAAGAATAACCCTTTGACAATAGAGTCAGCATAAAAGGTCAGGAGATTCTTCAATGAGGCATCAGGTAGTAAGAAGCAGGTGAGAAGGGACAGACAGAAAGATAAAAAGAAAAGGAAGAAAGTAAAAGAATGAAAATAATTTGATTTTACTGAGAATTTATTACCACGTTACAACAAAAAAGGAGAAGGGCTTTCCTAGCAAGACTGCAGGGATGCCACAAGGAAGTCCTGTGATCTGAAATAACTACTGCAAGAATCATGGCTGGGAAGGACTGTGATTTCATGAGGTCAGTGAAGAGCAGAAAGCCTGTAGTCCTCTATGCCTTGCTTATGGTGTACTTCATATCTGGAAAGCATTGATAACCCCTGAGCTATGGCTCTAACCTGCTTACCTGCATTTTTATTTTCATACCTGGTATCATCTGTTCCAGACCTTCTTGAAACATCTCAGTCTTTTTCAAACTACATTTTCCTTCATTTAATTTAAAGGTTACGCTTATCTTGATGGCTGAAGCATCTTCAGGAAGAAACAATGACATGTTATTTTAAAAAAAAGGAATAGAAAATGTAGATAACCCTAATGTCACATCATCATAATGATGACATCAAAAAATATGCTGACATAAAGTGAAAAAGTAGTCATCACAGAAAACCTAAAGAGATGCCATATCCCTCCTGCTGTGAAGCTGGTTCATAACTTCAATTGGAAGAAAATGTGGTGAATTTTATTTTAAAAAAGTAAAAAGAGAAGCAGAAGAAAAATGCGAACAAGTTCAGATCTGCTATTGGGTAAATCGAATAAGGGTTAGCTGCAATCAAAGGAGATCCTGCAGACCAGTTCAGCAAACAGTTTATGTCAATATAAAAATAGCACCTCTTATCTGTTTAGCTGTAAATGTTTTCTAAACTTTACCGTCCAACAGCTCATTCTAAACATATTGTATCTTACGAACACTGTCCAGTCTGGATAACTAAAAAGAGGCATGACACTCCTGGTCTGGCTGTTTATTTCACTACTGATCTTTTCCTCTTTCCTTATTTTTAAGTCTTAGTTTGAGTGATGCTGATTGAAGCAGCACAAGGGGAATTTTTCTGCTGCAATCATGAACGACAATCATGAGGATGAGGAAATAAAAACAGACGGAGCATAACAGAGAGTGAAAATAGGAAGTCAACAGAAACACCTGTATTTCACAGTTATCACCGAAAATAAATCAGTCAAACCATGCAACAGTAAATGTTGTGATTACCCAGCCAGCTGGAAGCATTTGTATTTTGCTGCTTTTTCTTAAGCTGAGATGACCTGCCACAGGTGAGGGTGTAGGCATCTTGTGTTCCTAACAGACAGACCAGAGAGATAGAGAGTAAAGGCATAGGCACAGTGCAAGACTCCTGTAGTATGAAAGATATATTTAATTTGTTGATCGGTGCCATCATCATCCTCACCTTTTTTAACAATGTTGTTCATCAAATACTCTACATTAGAGCTTGTCTTTTTCTAAGCCATTTAAAAGGTTCAGGAAGAAAAACAGCATCTGTCCCACAAGCACCAGCTGAGTCCCCATGCCACGTCCTATGGGATGGAGGGGCTGCACAGGCAAAATCCCAGACCCCACGCAGGGCTGGAATGCCTTCGCCTCATTCAGCAGTGGCTCTCACAGCCAATTAAGGAATGGCCCAGGGAGCACGGAGAATTCTGCCCTGTCCTCCCCAGCTTCAAAAAGACAGTTGTCATGAGAAGGGAATCTGAGGGTAGAGTGGTTATAAAAGACAAGGAGAGAGAGGCTTTCCTGGGACACTGTCAGGGATGTAGCCCTTTATTATCTGCAGTGAAAGAGGAAAGATCCCTGCTGATTGTCTCCTTCTTGGGGCTTCCATAACACAGGATATTTGCCCCACTTACACTCTCTACAGAATCACATGCTTGTTTTTGTTAGTTTTGACTTACCAGAAAACACCTGGACATCCGGAGAGCAGCTTAAAAAGCATCTATCACTCCCACCACTCTTAATGCAGTGCAGCAATACCTTGGGTGACATATTATCAGGCAAGGGACCTTTTGTCTCTAAATAAGATAAAACAAATACTCACAGAATTAAAACATCTACCTACACCCTGCTAATAAATTGACAAGCAGCTGCTTTTGTAGCTGGTACCTGAGAGCACCCATGCAATTAATACGCTGCTTAGGCAGAAAATCAAAGCGAAATAACATCACTGGCAGATGACATCACATAAGCAATTTCCTTTATCATGAGCGAACCTTCTCATGCAGAGAAACCAAAGGAAATAGAAGAATGAGCTAGACAAAAAGCACAGGAAAGAAAGCATCGAAATCCCTCAAAGTATCTCCTGTTTTTGGGGTTGGTTTTTCACTCGTTTTTATGAGTTTCAACATCATTACCATCATGCCTTGCTACAAAGCAAAGCGGAATACCGGGAACAATGACTCATACCACTTAACTGGACAGACCATCGGATTTGACTGTAACCATATGGCCATCACACACATCAGGAGTAGAAATGTATTCACCAGACACCTTACCAACACAGTCCTTTTTGTTCCAGTGTAACTTGTAGTTAGAGTGACACAGGCATTCATAGTCTCCCTGCGTGTTCACACACAGCTGTTGGCAACCACCGTTGTTGATGCTACATTCATTAATATCTACGGAGGAAAGGTAAAAATAGTTACAAAAAGATACTCTTCCAAAAGTTCTGTATTCTGACTCCGCTAGGTAAACATGTACACAAACACTGCTTAGTAGAGTTGGAAAAAGACTTTAGGAATGCTATCTGGACACCCACCTTGAACTAGTTTGTCTCCCTGGAAATCCTTTGATAAATTTCAAAATAGACCAAATGTTGGTGGAAGGGAAATGTTAATTGTGTCCTCAAACTTCATAATTAAACAATATCCAGCCTCAGCAATATGACAGCAAATTAACTCCAGGAAAAGGAGGTCAAATCAAATATGCATTGTACTGTGTCTGCTTAATTCTTATTTCTAATTGGTAATAAAGAGAGGTAACACAGACAAGATTCATACTCATCAATCCTCCAAAGTGCTCTGATAGATACAACTACTGTGGAACATGGTTTGACTCTGTGGGCAAACATTGTGTCACCATTGTCCCTTTTGGCCAATTATCCAATTTTAGGGCATTATCCCGCCCAATAAATGCCATCAGGAGGAGAAACCACTGGCAACACAACATACTGCCCTTGGTGCAAGCTTGCATGCTGATGCAGAATATACCATTCACTAGTGCTGTATCCCAGGGGTCAGTACCAGGGCCAGTACTATTTATCCTCTTGATTAAACCTGGATGATGGGACAAGAGTTCACCCTCAGTAAGTTCGCAGATGATACAAAACTGGGAGGAGTGGCTGATACACCAGATGGTTGTGCCACTATTCATAGGGACCTTGACTGGCTGGAAAATGGGTCAATAGCAATCTCATGAATTTCAACAATGGGAAATGCAAAGTTCTATGTCTTTGCTGCTCAGATCCACCTCGATGACTGCTTCACTTGTCTCCTGTAGCTCTATGGCAATTATACATAGACCTAGAAAGCTGTCATCAAGAAACCTGTCACAAGTCCCATAAAGTTTGTGCAACTGAGGGTACCTGCTTCTACATACAGTTTTCTCAATGCTAATAATAAGTTCTTGTCACTGCTCTCCCCAACCATTCGTTCCCCCTTACAGATATCCTGTAGGTAGCAATTTGTTAGAAAACATTGTTAAACACGTCACAAAACTGATCTGAATTCGGGGGGAAATATCCTAATTAACAGAACTTAGACAGCAGGGGTAGGAATGGGCAGCAGAGGAATAATGCAGAAAGAAGGGAACACCTTAAACTAGTATTGCTGCCTAAGATACTACAAAATCAGCCCAAATCTTTACTTTTCATGGACCTTTTGTCAGGATGCTGCATGCAATGGCAACCTGTTATCTCCAGTATTTATTGACTTCTTCCATGGAGGTCAAAAGGTGTATATGCAGTATCCCTACCAGCTGAATTGTTCCAGTTGGTAAGGTCTTGTGAAGTCAGTAAAATCTTGCCAAGAGCTTATATAAACCAAATTTAATTCCATTTAGTGCCCTAGCTATTGTTAAGTAAAATCTGGAAATTTCTCACACAAATATTCACATTTGACATGCATCAAGGTTCTGTGAACATCCTTCTCTTTCCTTGAACTGTCTTTGTAGGAAAGACATAAAAGATTCAAGAGTATTAATCTTGGCCACTGTAAATCAGTGGCACTACATCAGCTAAATTCCAATCTACATCATGTGAGGATCTGACATATGCACAAAGGCAACCTGCAGAACCATAATTTTGGAAGTCATTCAGACCTTCCTGCTCTTTAAGGCCTTTTCCACTAACTTTTCATTGAAGTCAATGACACTTCTGCATGTGAAAATTGTATCAAATTAGGGCTTTCATATCCAAATGCAAAACCTATCAACTTGTCCCAATAGTAACGTGGTATGAAGGTAAAATCATTTGAGCAAAGAAAGAAATAAGCAGGATTATCTCCTACTTTTGCTGTGTCTCATTATCCTGGCAGAGAGTAAAATTTACTCCACGGGCCTCCTGCATACACCTCAGCTTGCGTCTTGCACAGACAATAACTAGACCTGTGGCAAGAGCCCTCTATCAGCAACGGCCTGTGGTGCCTTTCCATAACTCACCTCCACAGTGTGTGAAGCCATAGAGAGCATATCCTTTGTTGCAAGTACACTCAAAGGTGCCTGGATGATTGATGCACGTGTGGTCGCACGTCCGCTCGAAGGAGCATTCATCAATGTCTGCAGGTTTTAAAGGGACACATCAGTATCTTTCAGGCTGACAAGGCAGTCCTGATGAGCTAACGAAGTTGGACGCGGAGATGTGCAGATTTATGTAAACTAAGCAAATTCTTTGAAAGCAAATAATGTAACATAACGAAATGACAACTTTTAAAAGAGCGCTTAGCTTGCCAAACAAGCTTTTTCTTGGCAAACGCAGAAACTGCTGTTAAATTTTTTAAATTATGTTTAAAACAAATTATTTCTCTTCTATGGGAGAAGAAAACTGCTGACAAAACTCTTATTTCATTTAGAAAAGTCTACATAGAAAAGAATTCTACAAAAGAAAGTATTGCCTTTGTTTTTTTCTCCCTAAATAAAAACGAAGGCCACAATTTTAACTCCATGTGAACACACAGTGTCTGATTTAAGCCTGCTGAAAATCACCATTTTCTCCAAAAATGAACATTTATTACACCATCAAAAGAACCTAAAATTTCTGTGCTAATACATTATGCATGCCACGTAAGAATGCTGCAAGACACAAAAACTTTCACATCAACTTCACTGACACATTTCATCAATCTTGTTTCTTGAGCTTTGGCATGCTTCAAGGTATCACTTCTGAAACAGTCTAGGGAAAGTTAGAGAAGTGACAGGGACAAAAGGGAGATGCAAGTCTTTAAAATACATTTATAAACAAATTACATCTAAAAAACCCCCACAAAATATCTTGAAAATATGATATTTATATAGTAAGTTTGATCCATATAAATAGCTGTCCTTTGTCTGATTTATAAAGGATAAGAATACACAAAAAATGCAGGTGAAAAGTACCTTCTGATAATCAGTTCAGCTTTCTGCAATTAATCATTAATGTCAGATAGTTGCCTAGGAAATGGTATAATTCACCATTTGGCTGATTGACATTATATTGTTTCATACTGTAGCTTTTCCACAAAAACAGAGCATTTTGATATTTAAATTTTCATGCATTTAAGCAGCTTAAACAGGATTGCTAACTCTATATGTACAAACCATTATACAGCAAAGCAAATATGCTGTGCAAATCTCACAGGAGAAATCCATGTTATCTTCAAAATCAAATGCTCCATGGTGTTTTAGAGAACAGTGTTTCCAGCCTGTCTCCAGGCCTATAATTTCATAGATCATGTTATATCTTTTTCCTTTAATAATGAACTCATGGCAACAAAATATCCTATTAAGAAAAAATAATTTCACTGCAATGGTGAATCAGTCAGTAAGATGGACAGGGAGATATTGTCTAATTTTCCCTGTAAATTATTTTAAGATCATTAAGGCAGGGGGAAGTATTAACCTCACAAAAAGCTTTTTAATATGATGCTGTCTCTGTCACTTCCTGATAATAGCTCACTGTGCCATTAAACATATCTCCTACAATAGTATCAAGCCAACTGTATTAACTCAACAGCTGTTTCAGAAGAAAAAATATCCAACACTGAGGAATGGAAATTCTGGAGTCCATTATCACCTCATCATTGTAGTAGATGTCCAAGCCACGCTGATTTGTCCTACTTTTGTTCTACTATTGTCTCTCCAGTGCACATACCTTGACAAGACTTCTCATCTGTTAATAATTTAAATCCTTTTCTGCAGCTGCAATCAAAACTGCCAACAGTGTTTTTACAGAAATGATCACAGCCTCCATTATTGGACTGGCATTCATCAATATCTGTAACAAAAAAAGCACTTCGACAAATAAACATAGTGCACTCAACATACTTCCACTGCCAGACCAAGAAAACAGTCTCATCCAGTTGGTTAGAGGAGCCCAGAAACAAAATCCACTGAGAGTACCACAAAAGGAAGATCAGGTCCAGCTCTTAAGAAGGATCTGGCCCATTCAGTCCCAGGACAGTGTTATTTCTTTTCATTTAACATACTGCTGTCAGTTACATTTGGGTATATGTATTCATAAAAGACCATTTCCCTAAGTTCTGTTTGGAAGCACTTTGACTCCAACGCTCTCTAAAAGGTTTTAGCATTTTAAACATTCTCTCCATTTCCTCTCTGTGAGCCCAGCAGAAATCTCAGGCAGATTCCTGAGCTACCCCATCCTTTTCATGCCAATATTAGAACGAGGCCTTTATCTAATATTAATTGACTCATGCATGGGGATTTCATCATTTTTGCTTAGCAGAACAGTCTTAACATCTAATCACTGGAAAATGTATTCTAATATACTGTATATTCTAACAACTGTCCCTTTGCTCCTTGCCAGTACTCTCATTAGAGCCGCCTGGACCAGTATATATTTATAAAACACATCCCTATTTGCACACTGATATTTACTTGCAAACTGCTCTAATACCCATCTGACTGCAGGTAAAACAGCAGACTATTGCACTGTATACCTGTAAGCACCTACATGCCTACTTCTCCCAGCACTGACCTCTACTGCACCACAGCCCTTTTTTACCTCTACCAAACCTCACCTGTGAAAAATGAGGTGGAAGTGCTGAGGGGGAGGGCAGAGCAGAAGAGATTCTCTGCACATGGTACACCTGATGCGATGCAAACCACACCTCCACCCCGGCTGCAGTCCTTTCTTTGGTTAGATTACACACACTGCCTTTCCTCTGCACACTGCACTACCTTCATTTGGAGATTAACACCTTACAGCAAGGTGTTGGTAGGCACACGTCTACAGTCATAAAACTCACCTTTACATGTCTTGCCATCAAACTGGAGTGTGAATCCCACGGGACAGCTGCAGTGAACTCCGGTCGACGTGTCCTTACACGTGCGATCGCAGCCGCCGTTATTTACTGCACACGTTTCTGGCCAACAAGATAAAGCTGAAGTTTGCTCAGGGATGTTATAGTGGTAACAGGAAACATCATGAGACACGAGGCACAGTTCCAAGCACACTGCTATTTGAACAGATTTAGTCTAGTGTACACGAGCAGCTACTAAAAACATGTGTTGGCAAAACTCCTGCCTCAGCTATTTCCAGGTTTTTTGCAGAGACTCTACAACCTAAGATACTGCCCACTGGGTATTCTTGTCCTTAAACACAAAACCCTGCTCCTTGATGATGAACCTGTTACTGTCAGTCTGTCTCCTTATGCCCACACTCAGTCCTGGCTGATCCTCTGACGCTTCCCACCCATGCTCAGACAATTGGTTACACCTGGCACTAGTAAACCAATTTTCTTAAATCCCTCCCAACACACCTTCCCATCCTACCTGTGCCCCCAGTCATGGTGGATAACACCCACAATGGTAACCCATGTGCCTTTTTGCCATTTCAAACGAAGTTTGTTGGTCTAACTTCCCCCTATTCAAACTATGTCTAAATCTCACCAAACCTTTCTAGTGAACACCCTCAAAACATGTTTTTTCACATCCAGCTAAACAGAAGTAACTCACTCTTTGGCATCCATCTTCTTGTAGTCAGTCTAACAGCCTTTTCACTGGCTGGACAAATGCAATTTTACATAGCACATATTGATTGAGAGAGCTGCAGAGAACATTTTTTATGTCTGCTTTTTGAAATTCTCTCTTTCTAGCTCTGTATCCTAGTTTTTTGCAGCATCAAGCATATGCCACTCATTCTCAAGTTTTGAGAACTGTATTGGTTAGTTCCCTTGCAGTTTCTCATCTCACATTCAGTATTGGGAGGCTATGTCCAACCTCCAAGGGAAGACAGAGTACATCTTCTTTCTTCTTCTTTCCACAGAAATGTCTTTTTCTTTTTTTCTTTTTTTTTTTTTTGGAAACCAGGATATTTATTTAGGTGTCTAAACATGGACTCAGGAGCTCAGGGCTAGCCCTACACTATTGGTAGCTTCTTTCTCAGCCTCCATGCCACTTCTGAAGTAAGCGCCAGCAAGCACAGCAAATCACCCCGACTGCATGAAGAGAGGGCTTTTGAGAGGTGGACATCCACTGACCCAGCTTCCCTGAGACCACAGTGATTGTTTCTTATGCCAGTGCCTTCCCTGCAGTGACAGACTCCTGGAGACTAGCATTTTGGGCCAGATGGGAACACCTCTAGGAATAATAAGATGGCCTTGCACCCTAACGTGTCCTTCCAAATGCAATTTACCACTAGGCCCAACTCTCTTCCACACAGAAGTATACTTTCAGTTGAAGAGAAGCAGGTAAAACACTGCTTCCTCCACAATCTAGGCTAAAAAAAGGGCTAAAACTGTAGCACAGAAGGGACTGTACTGCATTCCCAGGTGAATTAGAACCATGGAACTATACACTGCAGCACACAGACACAGCCCAAGGGCAAGTTCTTGATACTTCCCCACTGACCATCACAAACAATGTATGTAGTTTTTAACACATTATGGAAAATTATTTCCTTAAGAGGGAGTGAAGCATCAAAGGCAGAAATCAGTCCAGAGCTGATGGTTACAATAAAAAAAAACGAAACCAAAAACAAATCCACACCAATTCTTTGATCCAAATGGTTTCAACAAACACCAGAATTATTTTGGATCAGTGCTTTTACCCATAAGCAACCGTCGCTTCACCCTCTTGTCCACATCAGCTGCTGCTGTGGTGTTCCCCTCTGAAATTTCCACAGCAGCCTCTTCCCTCTCTGTAAGGAACACGAAAAAAGCCAATGAGTAAAGGTACCCTGACCAGAAACCTCATCTGACTTTCAATATGTACACACATGCAAACTGCTGCATCGCATGCTGAATCATCAGAGACAGTCAGAACTGACTAGGCAGAAACAAGTTATTTTTATAAAGAAAGTAGCAATGAAAATCACGAAGACTCTTCAGTCAAAACCATAAGAATACTCTGCTTCTGTGGCTGCCTTACAAGTCATGTTTGCTTCAGTATTCTTAACAAAACAAAAGATGTGCCACAGATGTAGTAAACAGCAACAAGATGAAAGAACTAATTGAACTGTCATGAACTGTTCTCTTAAGAGCACACTGTCATCATCTATCATGAACAAATACAAGGACTAGCCAGTTATGTCTAAGCATTTGATTTCAATCAACAGACAACAAACTCTTCCAGAGACTGTAAGAGTTTATAAATCTTATGTACTTTCTTTACTGGATAACTGCTTTGCAAAAATTGTACATTAATTGATTTCAGAGTTCTGGTTTTAACAGATGCACTCCCTGGTTACACTCTGGCTCACGCCATACGAGAAACTGAACCTAAAATACTCTAGAGGGAAGGAAGCCTTCTTTGGTTAGTGGCAGGCCTTGTGCTTCAGAGGGACCAGTGATAATTGCAGGCTGCAATATATTAGGTAGCTACTCACACAGAGAAGAATAAGTTGCCTGGACCCAACACTAACAGGTTTCTTAATTTTGAATTCCTTGACATTTTCTAGCCATACTATTATGAGGAGCATTAATCATGAACACACAGCAACCCCACACCACCTTAGAGTTGGTCATCAACATCAAACTACTTCCCTCCACCGTATACTGACCCAGGCAGGTTTTCCCATCCACATGCATGATGTACTTGGGGTGACATCCACAAATAGGCCCATTATCAGCATCATCACACGTATGTTGACAGCCCCCATTTCCATGATTACATGTTACTAGGAAGAAAATATATTTCACATCTCACAAGTACTTCCAGCATCTTTGAAAGACAGTGTGAAATTCTGTCGCCATTTGACCATCTGCACCTTCCTAACATGCCCCTTTCCCAAGGAACTCTGCTACACTGAAGCACTCTCTTGTGGAGCTGAACTTCCTGCCATTATGAATGATGGCACAATTCCCAAACTACAGACACCATAACAATTAATAGACTGGTGTGATAGTGTCCACAAAAGGCATTGATTCTATCTTAATTCAAATGCACACAACTTAGGTGTGTCATCCCACTTTAGCTATAACATACCAAATCCCACATCACTGCAAACAGAACACTATTTGTTCACTTTGGGAAACCACAAGCATATGCAGAATATTGCATACAAATGCAGCTCCTCTGATTCTTGGACAGTTCAAATCCTGGTCGGCATTCACAGGCAACTCCTCCTTTGGGCGTTTCTCTGCAGATGTGGGCACAGCCATGGTCTTTATTCATGCAGCTCATGCCTTCTGCAAAACAGGGCAAGTGCAAGAGCATCAGCATCCTCAGCATCTCTGTGTGCAGGCAACAAAGTCAGTTCAACACACACACAGACTACAGCCTGCTACTTCTGGGAAGACTCTACAGTGTCAGGACAAGACGTTTCAGTTTACAGACAGGAAAGGCAAGAAGTCATCCTGCAAAGTCAGTGGCCCCGAGGTTTCTCCTTCTGTGATCTTTTCTGTGCCCATGTTTTCACTGCAAGGTCAAAAAGCAACATCCCTAGATTTGTGCAGCCCCCGCATTCTCATCTAATGCTCTCACTTTACACTGGTGTTCATAAAACCTCCTCATTTCTTTTATACAAGTTGCAAGGCAGCTGATATCTGGCAAGATCCAAGTCTAAAGTGAAGTTCTTATTTCTCTGCTTAAAAGAGCACCCACCAGACAAAGGAATGTTTAGCCAACAGTAGCAAGAGTCATCCCAAGTTCAATTATTGGCCTTCAAAGCAGATTTCCAAAGTCATAGCCTTCCTCAGCAGTGACCAAGGAGTGACCAGGCAGACGTGCAGACTGTACATGTGCTGTACGTCAATTCTCTTTTTTGTTAACCATTTTGTTTCCTTTTTTTCTGATTTCAATGAATACCACTCAAAATAAACTCACTGAGGACTATCACAGTGTTCTGTATTTCTACATACCTTCCCAACTAGACAGAATTTAGTGCCAGTGCCTGCTTTAACCAAATGAAAAAGCAGTGTGACACTAGGGACTGTATTCCTTTTGCTGCACCTCCTAAAAACATTCTGTCATTTTTATCTCTGACAGTTACAAGCTGTTCATGCACAGAATGACTGCCAGAGTGTTTTGTCTGGCCTTTGCAAAACGACACAGACAATTAAACAGGGAGAAATAGTTCCTAAAACTACTGTAAAAACTTCCTTCACCTATCCCGTGGTTCAGTGAAATCAATGCCTTTACCATTGGCAAGATGGTCACACAATTTGTGCACACAGAACATAAAACCATAGAGCAGCTGGCTGAGTTATCAAATAGGATTATTAGACCAAATTAAATAAAGAGTTTTTCTTTCAACAGTATACCACAGGTTTTTTGATGAAGTCCCCTAATAGTACTCCAAAATCGGGAGAGAAGACAACTGAATGGTCTCCTCAGATACACAGAGAACACACCTTTGCCATAAAATTCTCTGCCTTCGCCCATTCGGCTTTAATGAGACAAGTTACACCAAAATGCTCTTTCTCAGCGACAACATTTCATTTGAGAAGACTAAGTGGAACATACTTTGGCTGCAAGAGCTTATCCCACATCACCTCAGTGAACTTCTACTGAGTTGAGCAGATGCACAATGAGAGGCAGAACAAAAAGGGTGACCCAATCTAAAACGGGATGGTGTGAACAATTCCACACCTTATATCTTTTTTTAAACTTACACAGCCCTTTTTGCAGCCTTATTACTAAATGAAACAAACCCGCTGCATTGTCAAGCAGAGGTCAGTTCGTCACTATTATTCCACTACACTTCAATTAGGTCCCTGCTCTTCACTGCTATTCTCACCATCTAAGCACCAGCTACAGTATCCTTTCTCTATTAAGACAGCTTTATGCAACAAAAGAATGGACGTTGCAGAGCCCAGATTATTCTGCTCTACTGGCTTTTTGATTCCTTTCCCACAGTGAGGACTCTCCAGAAGTCCAACAAGACAATGAGACTTCAAATCCTGCAGCACATAGACACAGTCCAAGGAGCCCACATGAAAGCTGTCATCCATTATTGTGTCAGTCAAGGAACAGTCAACCTATGAGGCCACAAATTACCCTCATTAACACCAGTGTTTCAGGGAAAGTTCTGGTCTTAAGCATGTAATATGATTTGGTCTGTTAGCTCAGAGGCATTAGAGAGCATTAAGAGAATTAGCAGCTTAGTCTCTGTTAACAAAGTTATTCTTTTGTCTCTATTGAGCTACCAAAAAGAAAACTGTTCAAGCAGGTACTTTGGTAAAGTTCACTGACATCAGACAAACTGTTTAAATGCTCCATTTGGGATTGCTCCGTTCTGAGTGAGCAGAATTCAATCAGGTCTCCACAGAAAGCTGAAACTGCACTTCCCAAACCAGGATGCATTTTAACAACAAAGTACCCATTTTTTGACAAGTTACTTGACCAAACCCACCAAAATGTAGCCGACCCAAAAGGTAGCCTTTCACAGAAGATACCTGCAGCCACACATTCTAGCATTTACTGTGAAGTTGCTGCTTGTTTCCAAACATGGTGGAAGAGTTCTCTCAGCCTTATTTTATAAAGCTGTTTTAAAGAGATGTCTTTAAAGTCATAAATGCTGCGGGACTACAAACTCCTTCACGGACACAGAGCCTCCCAGGTCACATTGTTCCCAAGCTGTTGCAATGGCAGACTGTGATCCAGAACCAAACCCCAAACAAATTTTGGTCAAATCCCACCACATGCTTCCCAGACACACAATTTCTCTTGCACGAGATCTTGCCCAACTGACACACAAGTATCTTTGGATGGATGACCCTCGATTGCCACACTCAGCCAAGAGAGCCACATCCAGTGACTGCCTGGTCGAGAAGATCCCAAGCCAAATGAGTCCTTTCTGAAGTTCTTTCTTGACCTTTTTGAAGTTACCCAGAAAGTTATCTGAGGACTCTCATCCCTGGCAAAATCCAGGCAAGAAAAGCCAGCACAATATTTCCCTATCAGGTCATGCTACGTTAATCTATTATACGTATGATCTGTGTTTAAACCTTTCTCTTTTTTTTGGCACAGAAGATGTGGAGACAACATTCCCAACCTGCTAAGAGCATTAAGGTTCCATTTAGGGCTCACTCAGACAGGGACTCAACAGGACAGTGGGAGAGGATGTATTTGTACAAAGAGTTACCAGAGATTCTCAGAGGCACCCTCTAAAAGGTAAATATTGAGGACCATTGGCACAGCCAGCAGAACAGGACATCCCAGGAATGCTTAACTCTTTTCTCACGCTTTCTACACTTGTGTTATGGCAACTTTTCCCAAAAAACTTTCCAGTTATCACTGTTCTCCACACTCAGAAGGACTCCAAAAGCAGCAGCTGAGACAGTGCCCTGCGTACAAGCTTTCAGTCCACACAGGGATTTCAACTGTGGCTTTCCTCTTGCAGATCCCATTCACTGCCATTGATTCAGCCCAACAAGCAGATAGCTATGCCTGTGAAATACCACAAGGGAGAGCAGCAAGATTTGCCATCCACTGCAACAGCAACCACAACATGTAATACGTATATTATGTCTGTTGTCTTTCAAATTTTTGTATTCTCTAATATGGTGCAAGTTAAACACAGAAATAAGACACATGTGCATGGCTGTCCTGCCAGATACTTTAACAGCCTCCCAAGGCTGAGAAATTCATTCTCCCATGTGTGGATGAAGAAGAGCTCGTTCAGAGCTGATAGACAAGGAAAAAAACATAGGACTGTGCACAACTTCCCAGGACACTTTCAGTTCCTGTGATTTAAGCAGGGGCTAGGCAGAACCATCAAGAGTACCCCTGTGCTTCAGACCAACACAGTCACAACAGAAGAAAAAAAATCAACTTTAATTACGAAACTCTCCTCTAATAGCTACCTGATTTTGAGTCCCATGTCACAGTAGGTGACAAGTCACCCCGAGGAGAGTTATAGATAGACTTTGAAGGGCACATGACTTTCAGGCTCCCCCATTAAACTGCTCCTCAGAAGGAATACAAGAGCCTCAAGCCTCTCTCTTTTTCCTGTCTTAACTTTCCAGTTCAATCTTTTCCTGTGTATTTAATGGCCAGTATTGCCACAAGGAAGGTCTCCCAGGCATTAATGTATGAACAGTCTTAATTGGGCTGGAAGACAGGGAAGGAAATATTCCAATGTATTACAGATAAGAAGCAAAACTGAATAGATGGTCCAGGCAGCAGGTGCCAAAGGCTGCTTTGATCAGTGCTGTGAGGTCTCAAGAGAGAACTAATAAAGTACATACACTGAACGATGCGTGCACAAGGTAAAGAACAGAAGTCCCAGCAATGAGCAGAAAAGCAGAGAACAAAGTGAGGGGAAAGATAAAGCTGGGAGATTGGGCTTACAATAGGCCTGCACATCCAAGGGAAAAAAAAGTTTTTTTAAAAAAAAGTGGGGAATTCCACAGAGTGCTTTACAGTAATGGAGGGGAGGCAGGAGGGAAGCAGTCACAGCACGATAACCTGAAAAAATTGCTTTTAAAGAAAGCAAAACAAGCAAGAAAAAGGAAAAAAAAGCATTTAATGCAAAAACTTTGTTTTTCTTCCTTAAGATTGGTTTTTACAAAAATATATTTTATTTAATAGTTTTTAGGAGAAAAAAAAAAGGATCTTTTTTCCCCTCTTCATTTTTCTTCTCAAAGAAAAATCTCCAAATTTAGTGGTAATTTGGTACTGTGCAAAAAAAAAAAAAAAGCCTTTTTTTCAAAAAAAAGGCAAGAGACATTAACTGCATCTTCAAAAACAAGACAGCAGAGGTTTAATTCCATAGGTACAATTTAGGGAACAAATACTAATGACAGGGAATGTTGCTGTTGTTAGTTCAGGAGAGCAGAATGTACTCAAGTAGCAGCAAGTATAAATAAAGAGTTGGAAGTTTTTCCTCCCTTGGCATCAGACAAGACAAGGAGATCAAGCAACCAATTTTCATCCTTAGGTGCATCATCCATGCATGCACACAAACACACGTTACTGCTGGCAAGACAACATGAAAGGAAATGCCTTGTCCCATCACTGCAGCCTTCCTGCTTGTCCCCACTCCTGGCTCAGCCCCTGCAGTGGCAAGCTGGGCAACAGCCTGAGGAATCATCAGATCTCACCCAATCCCCTCGAGACCAAGACCAGCACCAGAGAAGCTGAGAACACGAATTCTTAAGTCAAACAAAGAATCAAGTCACTCTGTCAGATGACAGCCACCTCAGAACACTCATCTGTGGATGGCCATAGATGCTGATAAATGCTGATCTCTTCACTATGGGGATTTTTAAAGTGAGATTTGTTTATTCATGCTTTGATTCCTCTTACAGTCATGCCAGCAATAAGCCATAGATTAAAGAAAGCTTTGCAGCTTTAAATACTTCTTACTGAGATTTTCACCATACAGTTCAATGGACAACTCCCTGATCTGAGCAACCACTTTAAAGTATTCCCTGAGGGCATCCAAAATAATTTTGTTCAATCTGATGCCTGATTAGATATCCAAGACTCTCTGATCCCTCAAAGGTCGATTCATAAAGGTTTCACTCAAAACAAAGAACGTGATTTGAATACCTTTGGGGCTGACAAACAATAAATCTCTAAGCTGAAACCTAAACACTGCACAGGGAATCTAAAAGGTACCTGAAGGTAATGCAGGTACTGTCCTGTAACTAAAGTCCATGAAAATGGTTGGAACTTGATGTCCTTCCATTTGTTGTCATTTCTTGGATCAGGACACAGCTTAGCTGCACAACAGAGCATCAAGTACACTGGGAATAGAGCAGCGCAACCTTTAACAAGCAACACTGCAGACATACAGGTGGGATCAAAGAGGCAGAAGGGATGTAGAGTCTTCAAAGCCACTTAAAAGATTCTGACACCCCGTTCCTTTTAAGAGCAGTGAGGACTTCAAGACACTTCACAGCTTTGAAAACCTCAACCTACAAATGCTTTTGAGGAGATTTTGCAGTCAGCTTCTGTCAGAAACTGCTGCCTGGTGCCCGGAGGGCAGCAGCCGGTACCTTCGGAGCGGTGGATGCAGGTATGCTGGTTGTCACTCAGGAAGAACCCTTCCTTACAGCGGCACTCGTAGCTCCCCACGGTGTTGACACAAACGTGCTGGCAGCCACCGTTGTTGAACATGCACTCGTCTGTGTCTGAAAGAGAGAGGAAAAGAGAGGGATCAGCTTTGTGCTGACACCAATACACTCGGGGTGCACACAGACAGACATCGACTCCACATGTAGCCACCCAGGCAGCTGAGACACCCCAGGCTATCCTGTTGTTGTTGTGCTGTCATCCTTGGGAAAGTACATTTTTGCTGCTGCTCTTCCCCTGTTTGGAGTTTGCCCAAGTGGTCACAGGGCTCCCAAGAAATGCTGGCCAACTAACCAGGGTTGCTGGCTGAGCTGAGGCAGAGTAGCCTCAGTGGAGCCAGAAACAGGGCTCTCCACCACCCACAGAAACACTCCCTGCCCCTCAGTGCAGCTGGGTGGCACCACCACCCCAGAGCCTCACACAGTTTCATCTAGGTTGAGCAACCATACACGAATCTGTCTTGCTCAGTGGGATGTAACATTGGCTCCAAACCCTTCCAAGCTATAAAAGGTGTTTTACCAGAAAGCCCCCGTTCTGAAGCAAAAGTAGAACAAGAAAAATACAAATCTCAAAATAAATGTAGCTCAAAACTTATCCCCTGCTCCTTACTTTCACCCTAGCTAGAACTCACACACCACATCTGTTCATCAGAACATCATAAGCTCAGTTTGATTTATCATCCTCCTCCTCAAGTCTAGGTCATCATCACTTATCATCAAGGCTGCTGCTATGTTGCCTCACTGCAGTCAAGGGCAAGAGCAGAAGTTCTGGAAACAGTTTTAAAGTTGATTTTGCAATATTCAGAGTTTCAACAACACCAGAGAACACAGAAGAGCTTTGCTTGCAAGAGAACCAAAGAGTAGAAAAACTTCAGCTAAGCCAGAACAACAGGATGCTCATCCCAATCCCCAATTCTTTGCAATTTTACCCCTTAATAAGCACAGGGTTTTTTTAACCACTATCAGCAACTAATTTTCCTACCCTAATTTTCAGAGATGCCAATTTTAACAGGAAGTAAAAATGCTCAGTCCCTTAAAAACAGCACAAAACATTGCTGAGGCAAAGCACTGGTCTCATTTGCAAATTCATACAAAACATCATGTTAGCTCCCTGTTCTGTTCATTGTTCCTGGCTCATAGTACAATGTTTTTAATTTAACATTGTAGCATTTCTGGCAGAAAACAGCTGTCTTTTAAAAAAGGAGAAAGAGAGGCTTTTAGTAAGAAGCATAATATAGTATTACAACAGATTTAATGTCTACTGAAGGCAGTGAGTAAGCCAGTTGGATGCAAAAGAATGTGACCTGCTGTAGAAATAGAGCGGCTGACATATCTCCATCACAAAGAAGCTGAGTATTTTAGAGTTCTACAGTGATGTGAATGTGCAAACAATCGTGAATAAACAGCCACCATGAGTCTTTAGTGCTACAGATTTGAACTCCAGCAGATGTTTCTGTCTTACAGACCTTGGATAGCTTTCAAAAAAATCATCTCTTTCCAACAAGTAATTGTCTATTTGGCTTAAACCCAGGCACACAGCAGAGATCTTCAAAAATAGGGGTGAGAGGAGGGCAACCCTGGCGTGAACAAAGTAAATAAGCAGATTAAGAGAAGATGTGATCCAATTTGCTGCATGCCAAAATATTTATTTAACATTTACATCACATCTCAAAATTGGTGTGTCAGTGGTAAAAACTTTGTTGTATGTCGGTGACATTTATTTTATTTTATTTTAGAAGTCTGCCATGCAACACTGAGCAGCTTCCCAGTAACTTAGCAGGTGGTAAATTTTGGTCTAAGTTATGTCTAGGTCTCACTGATCACAAGCAAGTCAGCTGAAGTATGCTCTAGAGGGGCTGCTGGGTACAAAATATACATATACCTTTTTGTGACATTGTAAAAGACAATGCATTCATTGAAAACAGCTCTTCATGGTAACCTCAACTGAACTCCACTGTGTGCTTACACAAATGCAAAAATAAGATGGACTTTCTATTATTTCAAATTATCAGCAGATATTTTGTTTCCCTCTCTGCTTAATTTATTTAAATATTTGGAATCCAGTGACTTCATCCTCTCCTCTGCCTACACTGTAACAAGGTTAATTTGCGGGCATGCAACAGGTTCCCAGAAGGTAAACCCCAACACAACCCCACAGAATACTCCAGAGCTTTTAGGATTTGTCCCAGCAAAAAATACAGCCTAGGGATGGTCTGATCCCCCATCTGATATGCCATACATTAATGGGAAATACCCCAGTCAAGCTAACTACCTATTATAATCATGCTGTGAGAGCAAGTTTCCCTCTGACTGACATGGGCATGGAGGCATGTCCAGGCACATCCATATTGAGTGCAGCAGCAGGGAAAAACTGAGCCACCTCTGAAAAAGCAAATGGGACAGATAGCACAGGGAGGAACTACACAGGGTACCTAGCCTGGGTCCTGGAAGCAGGGCAGCTTCATCAACACGAGGCTGGGTCCCAGGGAAGTAACACCAGCAGCACACCACGCTGCCAACAGGCTGACAGCTCATACCTTTCTGTACTTCCTGCACACTGCTGCACCCCTGTGCTGGAAAATACTATCACAGCAAAGCCACAAGGTCTCGTTACCCATTTTTAAAGCTTTTCACCTGCTGGCACACACAAAAAAAAACCAAACTATGGAGGTCTTTAGTAAAGAAAAGAAAAAGATGGTCGGACAGAGCGTGTTCATGCAGGGTCAATGGAGTGTTGCCAGGATTGAAAACACTTCCAGAGTTGTGTACTTTGCTTCACACTAACCACCAAGGGAAACTCCAAGCATTTGGCTTAGTCCCTCTGTTCTTGCATGGCCTCCATCATCTACAGCTACTGTCCATTCAAAATTATCCTTTGCTTTCATTAAGTACTCAGACAGAGTAAGAGTGAGAAGCCCCCACATTATAGATATATGAGAGAGAAGATTTCTAAGCCTGGAAATACAATTAACAACTGATCCTGAACCAATTTTGGAACTGAGAGGATAATGATAGCACATGTTCTTCTATATAAACTCATTTAGCATAATAACAGATGACACTTCATACGCTTAAACCCAATGCACTCAACAGAAGTATAGCATAATTATCCTCATTTATACAGGGGGAAAGAGCCACACTGAGATGGTACATCAGTACCTGGAACTCCTTTGTCCCATATGCAGCATTCTCTAGCTGAGCTGATCCAGCCCAGCAGGTAGCCATGGATGCAGCTAAAGGGTTATGTCAGCATCACCACTCACACTGCTCATGAGCACGCTCCTTACCCAGGCAGTTGTGGCCATCATGAGCCAACATAAAGCCATCGTAGCAAGTACAGCGGTAATTTCCTGGAATGTTGAAACACTCGTGGACACAGCCTCCATTGAAGTCGTTATCACATTCATCAATGTCTAAGGAATAAAGCAAAAGTCAGTGTGATGGATGTTTGCTTGAGCGTTATAGACAGAGATGCGACTGCGTAAATGTGAGCAGCAACTGCTGTCCAAAATCATCATTGTCTTGCAAATAGACTACATTTAACACACTACTGGCTGTATGTTTCTAAAGACTGACAATGTGCCCTGAGATTCCCTTGCAGCTTTACCTTACAGTTTTTAAGGCTGCTGGTTAAACAACAAACTAATTATCAGGCCAAGTGATATGACTAGGTGAAAATCCATGCCAACTGCCTGCCTATGATTTTGTAAACAAGCAGTAAATCAGGTGAAGAAACAATGACTATTTTGATTTAAAATCATCCCCTGTATTCTAAACCGTTATTCTTAATGGCTCTATCTTTTTAGAAATACTCCATGCTGACACAGGCAGAGCAGAGTGCTCCAATCACTTTACCTTCACATTTCTTCCCTTCACCAGTGTAACCCACTTTGCACATGCACTTGTACAGCTTCGGGGTGTTTTGACAAATAGCATCTGGGTGGCAGTCGTCAAGCCCCAGGGCACACTCATCCACATCTGTGAAAAGACAGCAGGTTCAGAAGGGGTGTCAGCAGGAGGAGAACAGGGCATGTCTCCTGCATACATCCCCGACGAGATGACAAGGCTGAGCACATCTTTGTGGTGTGCATCTGCATGTTGTGTGTATTTGTGAGTCAGGACAGAAACATGCAGAGACCATATCTGCACTTAAATTTAGATAATGTTCTACCTGCATAAAGATGTATTTGTGTGCAATTCAGATAAGCTCTCGTACCCATTTATAAATGGATCCAAAACAATCTATTATGGGCCAGCCAGATGCTCCATGAAACTCAGCTGACAGTTTTACAGAGATTCATCAGAGATTTTTCATCTTTCTGATTAAAAAAAGACAGTTATTGAAAGAATTCTTGATCACATCCATTTGCAGGAAGCCAAATGGTTTTTAAAGTAACAAGCAGAATTGATAGAAATGTACTTTCAAAGTCACTACCAACATGTTAAAAGACTGACTTACCATTAAAGAGATGTATAATTCAAAAATAACTTTTTTAAATACAAGAATAGTATCTGGTGAGCAGCACTGCCAAACAACCTGGCCAGTCATCACAAAGCACAGCATACTGAAGCAAAATATCCAGGTGGAAACTTCAGAGCACAGGAAATGAAGGGAAAGGGAAACACCAATAGGAAGAAGTCCTGGAGATGAAGAAGTGTAAACAGAAGAAGAGGAAGAAAAGTTACAGGCAGCAGAAGACATCAGCAAAAGTTTTTCATACACCAGAAGAGAACTGAAACACAGAAAGAGGAAGATTTTTCTTCCTAAAAGGGAGAATTGTTGAAACAACACCTCACACAGGTATAAAAATTGACTCCTAAAACAAGGAGTGGTGCATGAGCATCAGCAGAAGGTGACTACTTCAATAGTCAGCCACTTTTTATAGTGGGGATCACTTTCCAAAGGGGAATTTCAGCCAGCACTTTTCCCATTTACAATTATAGCATTCATCCTGCCTTTTTTTTTCTTTCCCCCAGTCACAAAATATGCCTGTAGGTACTGCAGCAGCTGCCAAGAGCAGAAAGTGCTCACTCAGTTTTAACTCCTAATGGGGTTTGGCAGTGGGAGACAAGGCAAAGAGCCAGTGCTAGAGCAGCAGCACTTTTCTGGCTCTCAGGTGCACTGGGCTACAGTAGCAGTGATGGGGTGCCCAATCCCGCCACCAGAAAGCAAGAAGAAGGAAAACAGTGGAAAAGAGCTGGGAAGAGCAGCAGAATCCATCTCCTCTCAAATCAAGCCATTAAAAAACACAGGAGGTGGTGAATTGAGGGAACAAGTCATGCAGGGAGGGGTGCAGGAGTGGCTGAGGAGCCTTCAGCTAGTGGGACTCAGGTAGGTGGGGCACAAGGAAAGGATGGGCAAGGAGGGACAGACAGCGGGCAGGAAGGAGCATCAGGCACAAGCACTGGCTGAGTATCCCGACACGGACAGTTGTCCCCTTCCCAGCCCGAGCCAGTGGGGCACACCTGCCCTGGCAAGAGGGGTCCCAGAAAACACGCAGCAAGGAGGGGGCTTCCCTAAAAGACGTTACACAGAGATATCAACTATATCTCGTCCCCGCGGCGAGACAGCCGCTCTACCGTCTTATTTCCACATTAACCCGCTGTGATCTGCAGCGTGCGGGAAAGAACCGCAATAAGAAGCCCCGGCACTAATGCACGCAGAGGCATGGAAAGGACGGCTAGGAAAAATCCGTAGGCACAGGGAGCGAGATTTCCCCTTGCACTGGTAGTGTCCTGAGCCGAAGAGAGACCCTGGAGGAACGAGACTGTGAGCAAACATCGCAGCCCTCAACTTGGCAGGAGGCGGCGGAGGCTGCGGGAGAACCGCTGGGCTCGTTCCTCGGGGACCGAAGGCGGCTTCACCCGCGGCACACGCAGTTTACACCCCGGTCCCTCGGCCAAGGTGCCCTGTCCCGGGACTCGTCCCGGTCCCGAGGGAGAGGGAAAAGCAGGGATAGCGGCATTCGCACCGCGGAGCCCGCAGCGCCCTGCGAGCAGCGACCCCCCCGCTCGGGACGGTCCCGCCGGCCCCACTCGGAACGGCCGCCCTTCCTTCCCTTTCCCTTCCCCACCGGGCGCTCCCCCTGCCCCGGCAGCGCACACCGACCATGAGGGGAGAGCGCCGGGGAGGCCGCGGGGGACCGCTGAAAGGGGATGAGGCGAGCGGGCAGAGGCTGGGGGCCTCACCGGGGCAGGGGGCTGGGGCAGTCACCGGGCAGGGGCTGGGGCTTCCACCGGGCAGGGCTCTGGGGGCACTCAACCGGTCAGGGCAGGGGACATTTAGCGGGCAGGGGGCACGGGCAGGGCAGGCGGCAGCGCCGGCCGCCGGCGCGGGCAGCAGCAGCAGCAAGCAGCAGCAGCAGCGGCGCCCTCGCCCCCGTCGCGCCGCGGCGGCCGCCGGACCCCATCGATGCGCTGCGGCGGCTGCGCTGGCTGCTGCTGCCGCCGCCGGGCGGGAGAGGCGGCGGCCGAGGGAGGGAGGTGTCTGCGGGCGCCGGCCCGCCTCGCACCCACGGCGGGCGCGGGGCGGCGAGGGGCTGGGCGGGCCTCCCCTGCCCGGCTACGGCACGCGAACCGCCCCATCCACCCCGCAGGAAAACCCCCTCCCTGAGCCGGCACCGGCGCTCGCACACCTGCACAGCGCCCCAAACACAGGTGTCCCGCGGAGCCGGTGCCTCCCGAAGGAGCACGGATACCTCACACGCAGGCTGCGGGTGCCAGCGGCAACTGCGCCCGAGCCGGGGCTCCCCGCTCTGCCGCGGCCCGGGAGATCATCTCCTGCAGCGGAGACAAGCCCGTGCAGAGACTCTGTGTGCCGGCACCCTGTCACAGCCCAAACGCACACAGCTCGCTCCGGCCTCACTCGTGTTTCTTCAAAAACACGGTATTACAATTTTTACTGTGTAATTACACCCCACTGCAGTGCGTGAATCCCCGTCTGAAGGCCAAACAAGAGCCCACACCTTCCACTTCCAATTCCCAACTAGGGATTTCCCACAGCTGTCCCTCCTTTGGTAGGTAAAAGTGGCTCATACATTATTCACCGAAATTACAATTTCCTAAATAATGTCTGACCTTTCAGAGTGCAAGTAAAAGCAGGCAGTATTCTTTTCCAGCCCTCCCTCCCATCCCCATTTCACTGCCCTTTCTCCTTTGTTTTGTTCTGTGAGAAATACCAAGCTATTTCTAGTTGCAAGAGTGGTTTATACACATTAGTAAATCTTCAGAATGAAACTTTCCCTCAGTCTTTGTCTTTGTTTCCTTAATGGGGGCTATAAATTACCACTCTCCTTTCTCACTGGAGCATCAGGCTTCATTGCTTTTGAAATGATCAAAGTTATTCTCTTTTTAAATCCAATGAGAAACAACCTATTGTGTCTCCTGGACGGTTTCAGTTCTTAGTCAATCTCATCTCTAAATACATAAAGCTGCTCATTAAACACTCCAAGGATTCTCCAGCCCCACACCATACCCCAAGTGTCCCCCTACCAACAGAAAGTAATAAATGAATGAAGGCTTTCCTGACAAGTTTCCACGATCTCATGAATAAACAATCATACTTACAATGGGAATTCACACACCCCTCAAACAGGGATACCAGTCAAGGTGTTTCTACAAACAAATCTCCCAAATGTACAGAGAAGCCACTTCCCATCCAGGTACGTGACTTCAAGCCACCTCACAGAAAAGCTGATAACACATTTCAGACACTTTCCAGTCAAGTTTCCTCAATGAACTTGACCAATATTAATTTAATTAATATTTATCACTAGATTTGACAAAATACATGAAATAGGAACAAATATGAAGACTGTAGCAGAAAAAGCAGTAAGAGACATTGAAGAGTCATATACACAAAATAACTAAAGCTTTCTGAGACACAGTAAAAGCAAAGCATTTTTCTTACTTCTGTAAACTAAAACATAAAGTGAGACATAAACATTCGGGAATGCCTGAGTTAGATCAAAAGACCTCAATGCAGCTTGGAAAACAAACAGAACAATATCAAATTTATCTTAGCTAATGAAACCATTTCTTATACATAAATCTCCAAGTGTTTTGTGAAGGATCCTGGCCATTATTTCAAATACAACACTCCTTTGTTTATGATGAAGAACTGCCATTAAAATATCTCTTTTTCTTAAAGACACAAACCAGACAAGCTCAGACCTCAACTCAGATGTCTTTGTGTAGCCTTTTTAAATATTTCTATTCAACTACAGAGTCACAGGGTGCTGCTATAGGTACTAAGATCTTTAGTCGGAGAGAGTAGCTAAAAAAATTCTTAAGACTCAACTTCAGCACTAAGTTAAGTATGAGGAAAGAAAAACAAACATACCAGGGCAGTTCGACAGGAAGAGACCCCAAATAGCACCGTTTGGGGATTTTTCCAGCAATTTAAAATAAAATAAAAGTCACAAAGTTTCAGGGAGAAAAACAGCTTACTGGTAAATATCTGCAAGAATTGCACGCAAATAGGGTATTTTCATACCTTATGGATAACGATCCTCAAAATCAACAGCAGTGCTTTTGCTCCTTGGGATACTACACAGCATCTCAGTCTTGAACGAAATCTTCATGTCGCATGGGCCAGAGCCCCATTCAGTTCTGCTCCACAGGTGCTTTGGGGGGAGACAGGTTTGGCTGGTTGATGTTTGGAGAAAGGCTGCACCTCAGGAAACCTGTCTGCTCTTTCCAACTGTACCAGTGTGTGCCGCCACCTTACAATGTTGCAAAGCCTGGAGCTTCTTGCCATGAACACTGTCAGATCTCATCGTATCAACAGGAGCACAACCCTGCTAGGAACACTGACTGCCACTCCAAAGGAACTCTTCCATACAGGTAAGATCCCAATTTCCAAATCCCCTGCCCTCCACTATGAGTATCACTTGTAGTTGCCTCACACTGAGAGATCGAGGCTAAGCTGCCACAGAGCAGCTGGATGTAAAAACTGCTCCAGAAATTGTACACCTGATGCCCTGAGAGGAATATTTTTCTCTGAAAATTCGGACTAAGAACTGGTTTATGCTTCATAATCCATGCTAAGTTTTATTATTTAATGATGAGCAAACATTGTCTGAAGACATCTAGATTG